AAGCTAAAAGAAACATGCTCAGCGTTGAGAGACAACGACTGTAACATTCGTAGTACCTAAAAGAAACACGCTATAAGAGAACACAATGTAAGACAGAGACGGCGAGATAAGATAACGGTTGACATACCTCAGCATTGAGAGACAACGACTGAGGTATGAATGAACGAGCGATGCAAGATTATAAACTAAGAGTCACGTGTATAGTAGGAATTCTAGGAATGAGAAAGAGAAACGAAGAGTCGATAATCCAACACACCCCCTCGACGAGACGTTTCAACGAGAGACAAGGGACAGTCCAATCTGATGACAGAGAAATAGAGGACGCGGAAGGCACTTGGTGAAGATATCGGCAGTATTGTGATGCGTGGACAGCCACTCAGGTAGGAATTCGCCAGCTTCGATGTGCGCACGGATGAAATGGTACCAAAGATTGATATGTTTGGTGCGAATGTGGTTTGCAGCTTCTTGTGAGAGCGCTATAGCACTGGTGTTATCTGCGAACAGGCGAAGTGGCAAAGATAGAGGGATCTTAAGGCAAGTGAAGAAAGATTGGATCCAGATTCCGTCTTGAATTGCCGCAGTTAACGCCATATACTCTGCCTCGGTAGACGAGAGCGCATGAGTTACTTGTTTCTTTGACGAGTGAGAGATAGGACCGCCATTGAAGAACCAAACGTAGCTGCTGATGGAGATACGATCCTCGGGACAGCTTGCCCAGTCAGAATTGCTGTAACCGTGAAGCTCTGGACGAATATTTGCACCCCCATAATGGACACGAACATTGAGAGTTCCAGCAAGAAATCGAAGGACATGCTTTGCAGCAGTGTAGTGACGAGGTTCGGGTGCTGCGTTGTATTGCGCGAGTCGCATAACAGCCAGTGCGATATCGGGTCTAGTGTAAAGTGCAAGATAAAGAAGCTCTCCAATGAGTTTGCAATATTCTGATGGGAGGTCATCGATGTGAGGATGAATGTCAGTGTCACGACCGAACGGGAACTTGGGGTCCATGGGGAGGGTCACAGGGTTGCAATCGAGCATGCCATGTTCGTCGAGCAGATAAGTGATGTATTCAGATTGATGCATCCAGAGTTCCTGAGTGTTGCGCTTGCGATCGAATTGTATCCCAAGATACTTCACCACTGGCCCAAGGTCGGCTATACCAAAATGTTCCCCGATCTGCTTCTTGACCCAGTCCAGAAAGGTGCATTGGTTTGCAGCCGCCAGTCCATCGTCCACATGCCATGCGATGATACAAACTGTCCGTACTCCTTTGCTGTCAACAGTGTCATAGACGAACACTGCGTAGTCTGCTTCACATCGGAGGAACCCAAGACGCGTTAGAACTTCCCGTAAGAGCTCGTACCAGTCGTAAGCGGCCTGTTTCAACCCATAGAGACTTGAAAGCAAGTGACAAACAAGACGCCCGCCCCCAGGGCCAAACCGTTCAAAACCCGGAGCTTGACACATATATACATCTTCTTTAAGTTTCCCCCAGAGAAAGGCACGCTTTGCGTCAAAGCTGTCGAGTTCCCAGTTGAGCTGCGCTGCCATGGCTGAAATGATATGAATAGAGGCTGGTTTAGCCACAGGCGCGAAAGTTTTCCCGAAGTCGACTCCTGGAATTTGAGAGAACCCTTGTGCCACCAGACGAGCCTTGAAAACGGGTCCGCCCTTGAGATCCTCTTTGAACTCGAGTACCCATCTGCAGCCAATCGCTTTGCGATCCTCAGGCAAGGTGACGAGTTCGTAGACATTCATCTCCGACATTAGATTCATCTCCTTCCTCATAGCGGCAAGCCAGTGGTCTCTGTCAGGACGGCGAAGTGCTTCATCATAAGTGTTGGGAGGGATCTTGAGGTCATAGCTGGGGGCGGAAGGATTACGGCGGGAGTCACTGCGAATGGCAATATATGCTTGCTCGACGACGATCAAGTTAGCGACAGCAATCGAGAAACCAACCATCAAGGTCTCTGGGAGGATAGCATCCTCATCTGCAACTGCCAGAGCTGCAACTGGGCCATTGACAGTGGATAGGCCAGGTGCATCATCTGGGCCGCCATTGGCGGATAGGCCAGGTGCATCATCTGGGCCACTGTCAATGGATGGGCCAATTGCAGTCAGGTGAGCAACAACGGGGACAGGAGGGACGTCACACCCTTCAGGAGCATCAGGGGGAGGCACACCATTGACACGTGCGAGGTGAAGCTCGCGCTGACAGGCTAGACGAGTGTGATCGGCAGTCAATTTTTCGTGGTAAGCACGTCCTCGTTCAGTGCCTGTTCGAGCACGAGAGGAGATGCGAGGTGGTGCAAGGCGATATGGCGCGGGAACTGGGAAGGGCGGGGCATCGTCACTGACAGATGACACAGGATCAGACATGGAGGACTGAGCGGGGACACTATCATCGTCTTTGTCGTCCGAATCTGGGAAAGCTCGCCCAGAGAATGACTCGTCAAAAATAACATCCTGCGAGTTGAAGAATGCACCTGTGGCTTTATCGCGGAGACGCCAGGCCTTGACACCAGGCGGGTATCCCATGAAGATTGCCTCGCGTGAGTGTGGACCCATCTTCACCTGCAGCTCAAGGGGGATGCGAGCAAAACAGCGTGACCCAAAAACGCGAAGGTGAGTGACATCGGGTTTAAGACCGTGAAGCATCTTGTAAGGTGTCTTCCCAGGCACAAGTGCATGAGACTCGGATCGGTTAAACAGATAGGCAACACAGAGTGCAGCTTCGCCCCATAATGATTGAGGAAGACGAGCGTGATTGAGCATAGCATACATACGGCCCTCCACAGTGCGTAGGACACGTTCGGCTTTGCCATTCTGCTGATGGGCATGAGGTGCGGACAGTTGCTGTTCAATACCTGCCAACTCGAGTGTCTTGGTGAAAGCTGCGTTTAGGAACTCGCCCCCGTTATCACTGCGAAAGATCTTCACGTGTTGACCCGACATGTTTTCCCACCGAGCTCGAACCAACTGCCAGGCATTAAGCGCCTGGTCTTTCGTCGCGAGGAGCTGAAGGTCGAGAATGTTGGTGTGATCATCCAGGAAGACAATGAAGTACTTCTTGCCATGTGGTGTCTCTGTCGGGATGGGACCGCAAAGATCGGAGTGAATGAGCTCGAGGAAATGTGAAGCGGGCGGTGAGTTGGACGTGGGATAATCCGACGAGGGATAAGGCTGCCTTGGGTGCTTACCCAAAATGCACGATTCGCATTTCAAAAGCGGCACAGCAGAGGTGATAGAAGCACCCTTGGAGAAGAGGGGAAGACGGCACACAGCATTTCCACCGGCATGACCCATTCGGGCATGCCAGAGGTCGAGCGTCAAAGGGACATGCGCAAACGCTGTGAGATCTGGTGCGGGCACAGACAGTAAGGGTGTAGAGACAGGAGGAGGACACAGGAACTCCAAATCAACAAAACAGAGCTTGTTCACCAAATGAAGCGAGCCTAAGAGTGCTGCCCGATAGGATAACTCACAGCATGCTGGCGCACCGACGAAATTACATCCCCAACCTTGATCCACCATGTAACCCACCGACAGGAGGTTGATCATGGCATCAGGTGCATGCAGACAGTTTGTCAGACGCACACAATACCTCTTGCTGCCAATGGTCAGTCCCACAAGGCAATCACCGCATCCAGAGGTAGACAGACTACCATGATTTGCCGTTCGGACAATCACGGGATCAGCTGTTGAGTAAGACCAGAAGAACTTGCGATCGCGTACCAGTGTTACAGTGGTACCGGAGTCAAGTATGGTAGAGTAGGCAGTGGTCATAAATGCAGCAAGGTTGGATGGGGGGACTTGAGAAATGGAGGTGTCAGGTACTTCAACGATAGACGCACACGCGAGATCGCTGAAAAAGCCTGCTGCTGCGGCAGAGGAGCCAGCGAAGGTCTCTATAGAGGAGTCGCCAAATGCAAATGCTGCAAGCGGAGGTGCAGGCACTGGAGCTGGAGCTGGAGGAATGGGAGTAACCGCAACAGCGGCAGTCTCAGTTTTCTTATTCTTAAGCCAGGGTGCCTGGCCTTCCATCCCACCCCCCTTGCGATAGCAATGCGGATGATCGTGATCGCCCTTGCCGCAACCTGGTGTCGTACAGAAAACTCCATCTGGGTTGTTCCGATGCTTCCGTAAGCCAGTGATGGGATTGGAATTGCTACCGACCGTGGTGGCAGTCGCAGCATTGGCATATTCAGATCCTGGCCCACTCAACAACTTGTCGTCAAGCTTGCGACTTGCTTCAGCAGAGATGCGTGATATGCAGTCTTCAAATGTGAGTGGTGATGAGGTGGAGAAAGCGTCTTGAATCTGCTGATGAAGCAACCCCTTGAACTGAGACCAGGAGGCACTACGTGGAAGTCCACGAAGGAGCTGATAGATAGCATCTTCGTCAGGATAGTTAGCGCCCATTCTGATGAGTCGCTCGCGTAGTGCAGAATGACGAGCAATATAATTTGAAGCATCCGCAGTGTCCTTCATCTGAAGTGCACCAATGGAGTTCCGAACGACATATTGCAAGCTGATATCTGTTCAACCATAATGATCGGCTAGTATCTTCCATGCCGCACGTGCAGTGACTTTGTGACTATCAGAGATGAACTGCTGGACTGAAACAGATAGGCGTCGAGTAATGATGGCTTTTGCTTTAAGATTGTCGATGAGCCATAAACGAATGGCTTTGATCTCATCAGTGGTTGGATTAGCTTTATCAACAGCGACAGGAATATGTGACGCGACGCCAAGGATGTTGGTGGGGTCTACGGAAGAGGAAACATGACACCAGAGATCCTCTGTCCCTAGCGCATAGGTGACTTCTCGTTTCCACGCACAATAAGTTTCCGGACCTGTCAATTCCGGAATATGATCGAACTTCCCCATGTTGAGAGGATGAAACGAGACAGTAATAAGGAAGAATGAGCCGCTAATGCAATGAGAGTGGTTTCGCGTTCGATGTGAGGTTCTGCTTAGAAGGCGGGGCTCATAACCTGTTAAAAGCTAAAAGAAACACGCTCAGCGTTGAGAGACAACGACTGTAACATTCGTAGTACCTAAAAGAAACACGCTATAAGAGAACACAATGTAAGACAGAGACGGTGAGATAAGATAACGGTTGACATACCTCAGCATTGAGAGACAACGACTGAGGTATGAATGAACAAGCGATGCAAGATTATAAACTAAGAGTCACGTGTATAGTAGGAATTCTAGGAATGAGAAAGAGAAACGAAGAGTCGATAATCCAACAGGAGTCCTTGAGGGTTGATGATTCGGCCATCCTGTGCTCGACGGCAATGGGCATTGGATCCATCCCAGAGGTTGCTGGAATTGCAGTGATGAATGTCGTGTGCAAAGCAGCCCAGACATACGGCACAGGCTGAGTGGCCACGTGAGCCTGCGCCGCGAGAAAAACCCTCACGATGGCTCTTGTCCCGGGTGTTGTCTGGTGAAGATGATCTGCCCTTCTGGGCTCCTCCACCACGAACAGGCGAGCGTGAACGTGAGTCATGGTTCCGATGATTATTGCTCCGCGTGTCACGGTAGCTCGATTTTCGGAAGCTGCTCTGGTATGTGGATAAGTCCTTGCTCGAAGGCTATGTGATGGACAGGTGCATTATCCGCATGAGCATGTGTGCGGGCATCCACAGGAGTGACATCACAGGCATCCGTGGGAGTGGCATCGCGGGCATCCACGTATGTGGGTTGTGGGTGAGTACGAGAGTGGTTATATGGGTAGGAAGGGTTGTGTGGTTAGTTGGTGTTTTGTAGGGGGGAGTGCGACACGTACCAAGGCCAGGGTTCGGGATCGCACTTTGTCCCATAGTTCTTCGCTAATTGTGCGCAAGAGAGTCTCGTTGAGGTTCCCGATATTGAAACCCTCGTCTCGCTTCAAGCAGTCGTGCCAGTCATGGCGCACCCTCGAAGCGTAGTTAAGGATAACCATGTCTCCGATGTCGCTGTGGTTGCGAATCGCGTGGTTTTCGAGACACCAGAAGAAAAGCGATAGAGTGTCGACGTGGGTTTGGGGCCATTTGGCCTGGCTGATTTGAACGAGGAACATGTTCTTCGCTCGTAGGAAAACTGAGAAAGGTAGTTCGTGATCTGCTAGTGCTGCCTTCGAGGCTTTAAAGGCTGACGCTGGACGAATGGTGAGCTGGTCGTCCACTTTGGTTAGACCGTAGTCATCTGCGACGGATTTTGAAGTTTTGAGGGCTTCCTTGCATCCGTCGGGAGAAAAATACCATAGCTCTATGTATTCAAAATTAGTGAGCTTTTGAACTGCGTATTGGGAGGGACAGGGAGCCAAGAAGTCTCCTACTGTTGAGGCTTCCTTGAATCCATTCATTTTCGGTTTCTTCTTTTCTGCTTCTGCATGCTCCTTCTGCACTTCCGCCTCCTGTATAGTGTTGTTCCGGCCTGGCTTGGCTCGAAAGCCCCGGCTTTGGCCTGGCTGCAGACGGCCAGGGCTTTCAGAAATCATAGGCCGGGCCAAAGCCCTCAACCATGGCTTGGCCCTGGCCTGGCCTGGCCGGAGCCATGGCCCGAGTAGGAAAAATGAGCAGGTCAATGACATGAATGAATAATGGTAAATAAAACAAAAATCAATCAATATATATGTCATCCTCGTCCTCCTCCAGTAGCAAGACATCCCAACCATCTTCTTCGTCATCACCCTCACTCGCCAGGTTTTCATTACCATCCAGTTCAATATCAAACTCGTCAGCTTCCTCAGTGGACGATGATGGACCAGGCAGGCAGAAGAGAAGGTCATGATGAATGGCACACTTGACACATTGCAGTGCCTCAACAATGTCACATTTGAGGCGATTACGACACTTGCTGATGGTAATACCCCCCTGCGAGAAGGCACATTCGCTCAAAATGGATGATGCCATGATGGACAAGTAATCCTGAGCGATGGAGGACCACACTGGTCCGTATCTGTGAGCATTCATCTATCAAAAAGTAAGCATCAGTAACGAGGAATGAGCTGGAATATAATATTATATACGTACACCCCACCATGTGACTGTACTCATTCCAGATGGCAGTTTTGCCTCGACAGTGTTGATGTAGTGTTTGAAATCGGCATACCAGGGTCTGGAAGGATCAACATCGGCTGCTGATGCACCAAAACCGAGGTCATCGTCTTCGTCCTCACTCTGGGTCTCACAAATTAGTTTTTTGAGGCCATTAACTTTGCCTTTCTTGATAGATGCTTGCACCAGTATCGCTGATCTTCCCATTGCAAGATAGCGAGTTTTAAACTAAGTCCTGGATCAATAATACAAAATGAATTGCAATGTAATTGAACGTGCCTCTAGTTCCACACAGGCAAGGACCTCGTCTTGCAGGTCTTCAGGCCAGTGTTTCTTAAAATATGCCATCTTGCCCATCGGATCAAGTACTGTATGGAAACATCAGTTGCACGCAGAACAGAATGAACAGGATGAGATGTACACGTAGCCATGATGTATGCTGGTGAGTCAGTTGTCTTTTCATAGTACTGGTCAATCTTTTGCGCAGCAGCATGGAGTGCAGTTGAAAAACGGGCATACTTTGGTCGGTCTGCTCGAGACGACCAGGCTCAATGAAGTGTCTCGAGGGCAGGAATAGCCAGATGAAGTGTAGTCCCCTTGTCTGATGAGAAAGCCTGTTGAGCTACATCTGCATACTAAAGCAACAAATTAGCGGTAGACTTGTGTGGATGTGAAACAGAACATACTGAGAGTAGATCAGCAAACTGACCGATGCGGGTCCATTCAGTCGAGGTCAACCGGAGGTAATCAATTTTGGCACATTTTTCCAGATTACGTTCTTGTGTGCCTATCTCGTACACAAAAACATTGACGTGCTGGGGCCCAGGATCAAATTCAGCAAATACCTCATGAATATTAGACTCACCTCCTTACTGCCTTCCGCATGATTGATCATTACATATGTTGAAGACCAGCGAACCTTCATATCGAGAAGGAGCTGTGTGGGGTTCGAGATGCCAGCCTTAGCTTGAATAGTCTTATAAAGCTCTTTTCGTTTGGCCGATGAGCGTTCCTTTACACAGATCGAGTGAATAAGTCCAATCTCGTCACAGTCACCTTGAATTGACATGTCAGGATCCAAAGCATGGGAGTCATGCAGATTGTAGTGGGGAGCCTTGCTGTATGTGCTAATGAGGAGTTGTGTACTGAGATTGATAACATGCGCTAGGCAGCTACAGTCGTAACGTGAGGGTACACCCGACACGAAATAATATCAGACTTACTTGATCCTGCGAGCCTGCCACGGAAATTCCTTTTTATATCGGACTTCATACAGTTGAGCGAACTCTTCAAGCATTGTACCATTGTTAGCGGCATTGTCGCAAGTAATGTGGCCGAGCTATAAAAAAAATCCTATCAAACTACGAATCGTTTAGTCACAATAGCATACCTTATGTACAATACAAAGACAGTCCAGAATCTTGAAAAGAGTCCCACCAAGCCGCTTGCCGTTGTGTGAATTGTTGACTTGCATGAAGCCGAGTAGTGCACTTTCGCACTCCCATTGTGTAGCTGTCTTCGCTTCAATCCAATGACCTGTCACAGCGAAGTAAGCATCAACATTACCAGCCTGCCAGGCATCGCAGGTTGTGTTTATCATGCCGCTAACGGCATCACTATTGAGCTTCTCCTTGAGCCTCGTAAGATTATTCTTAAATATCCTCATAATCTCGGCTCGAGTCGCCTTCCTGCCCGGGATCTTGACACCATGGGTTGCTCAGGCAGCAACGTCAATCATTTCCTTGAATTTTGGATGCTCGAATGCTTGAATAGGCTAGATAACACGAGTCAAATGATAATGTTACTGCAAGAGGGTGGGAGATATACCTGGTCAGTGGCGACAAGCCATTCAATAGCAGCCTGCTTGAACAAACCATCTGAGTACGGGACAATTCGTTCGGCAACCTTTCGTTCAGTCAGATGGGAGGTAATGACACGTTGGTCATCTTCGGCCTTTTCCTTGCGACCCTTGACGTCACCAGGCAACATGGACTCGAAGGAGTTTTGCTTTGCCCACGTACGATATTTGCCCTATGTAACACGTCAATACAAAGATGGGTAGAGCACAACCAGTAACTCACTGCAAAGTTGGCCTCAGCGTGTCGACGAAGAGTAGTTGTTTCATTGACGAGTATGCATTGTTTTCTATCAGCTGATCAGTAGGTGAGTACGGCAAAGGATGAGCAGACTTACCGGCAAACCTTGCACTTGCGGTGCTTCTTGACTTTGCTGTTAGACCCAGCATGATCGAATGTAGCACCAAAAAATGCTTCAACATCAGCAGTTCTGAGCTCACGTGTTGACCCTGCATCCACGATCGACTGGACGTCGATGTCAATGAGGATGCCATCCTCACCCACTGGCTCTGTGTCTGTTCTCACAGCGAGTTTGCGAGTTTTTTTTGCTAACGGTTAAATGTAAGTCAAATCAAATCATTGAGGGTAAAATAAACTTATGTTTCGGATTTGTGTGCGCATTTTCACGCTCATCGGATAGAACATCATCCAAAATTAGTTCAGTGTGGGGGCATTTGCCATTAGATGTAGATGCAGTGGGCTGGGTTGTTGCAGGCTCTAGCGATGGACCTGGGGTGGCAGTCCGTTAATTCTCGGTAGTAGACTTCGCAGCCTCTGCGGCACGAAACTCGTTGATAGCTTTTGTCTGTGATGTGAGGGCCGCCTTCTCTGAGTGCTGGAGAAGTGCGGCTGTTGGTTTTGTCCGTCGTACGGGACGATGATGCTCATTGCCATCGATTGAGGCTGAGTCTGGGTTGATCATGTGAGGGCACTGGCAGTAGGCGGTAGGAAGTAGGGAGAGATGCACATACAATAACAGATCAGCAAACAATATAAGTTTGCACATGTACCGTGACAGCAACAGATCAGCAAACAATATAAGTTTGACAGACCATCAAGCCTCCGGACAACGACATAGTGCATCGAAGGACCTGTTCTGACACTGGAGTGAGTAATGTCGATGCTACAAAGTGCGTGATCAAAAGAAACATGGCGACTTACTCATCTGAAGGATGCAGAAATACTTTAATAGGCCCATCTCGACACCGGAGTGAAGAACGTCGAGTCCTCAAAGCGCAAGAACACGATTCTGACATGTGGGGATAACGCAGAAGCCAAAGACAAAAATAGACACGGCAACGACAACGCAACGTGTCTGGGGCGGTGCCGACCCTTGCCGACCACCCCTAAAAGCCACGGCCTGGGCTGGCGGCTCGGGCTTTGCAAAATGGTGGGCCAGGCCAAAGCCTTACACAGGCCGTGACTTTGGCCTGGCTAGGCCCGGCTCAATGGGGGCTGGCTTTGGCTGGCCCACGGCTCAAAGCCGGGCCATGCACATCACTACTCCTGTAGAGCATGCTCTGCTTCTTCCTGCGCTTCGCGAGCTCTCTCAGCGTTGGCAACTGCGAGTGCCTCGTTCTCTTGTTGTTGTTCCCAAGCGAGGACTCTCTCTTCGTGTCCTGTGTTCCAGGTGTCTACTAAGCGGTCTATGACTTCCTGCTCTGTTTGTCCTGTGGCTGCTGTCAAGTCGGTGCGTATGCCGGCGTAAAGTGCGCCTGCGTAGTCTGGACAAGCTTCGGTTGTTGGATCAACCATGATAGTTATTGTGTGGGTATGGAGTGATTTGGTTTTTTTTTAAAAAAAAGTTCTTAAGTATGGTTTTGTTCTAGAAAAAGAAATACGAGGAGGAGAGTGAACTACGCAACGACGAACGATGGTCGCGGCACGGAAACAAGAAGCGGTGCCGCGTCTTCCGTTCGGTCGAAGACCTTACTCTATTCTTTCGCTCGTGCCTCGTTACATAATAGAGTCCCAAAGCGCCCACCGCTAGGGCAGGGGCATTAGCAATAGCGCCACGCCAGAAATTCGAAGGACACGCTGATATTATCCGGGGCGTCATACACCTGCCAGATGGAGAACGGATCATCACTGGTTCAGACGATGGCTCGCTGCGGGTATGGAACTTGGAGAGCGGCAAGCAGATAGGGGAGGACTGGCGAGACGGAGGAAGTGAAGTGTGGACCATAGCGTTGTCTCCGGACGGGAAGAAAGTGGTTAGCGGGAGTAGTGGGGACGGAGTAGTGAGGTTGTTGGACATTGACACAGGCAAAGTCATCGCTAAATGGACTGGGGACACACTGGGTGTGTCATCTGTCTGCTGGAGTCGAGATGGTCGACAAGTATTGAGCGGATCCACCGATGGAACTGCAAGACAATGGAATGTAGAGAGCGGAGAGACGATCCTAGGACCAATCGAGACCGGGCACAAACACGTATACGCAGTCGTTTACTCGCCAGACATGACCTTGATCGCGACTGGTGGATACCACAAGGATGAACACTTGATAAAAATCTGGGATACACAGACATGCGAGCTGGTCGCAACTCTCAAAGGACACACGGGTGCAGTGCTTTGCCTGGCTTGGACTTCAGACGGAAAAACACTTATATCCGGGTCATACGATGACTCAATTAGAACTTGAAATACGAGAACATGGAAGCAAATTGCGGTACTGGACGAGCACACTTCCACCGTCTATGCAATTGCAATATCCCCGAATGACCGCATCCTCGCAAGCGCATCGTCCGATAATACAGCGCGATTGTGGAACCTCGACAATGGCCAGCCAATCAGTATACCCCTCCAGCATGCAGATGAACTGAATTGTGTGTCATTTTCGGCAGATGGAACGCTACTAGCTACTGGTTGCGAAGACGCCAACACGTACACATGGGATGTTTCTGCGATTGTTAGAAAAGCTGGCCTCAATGACCTTCTAAAGGTGAGAATATGTTTCTGTTCGTTCTAGTGTTAGGAACTAAACGCGCCTTCCCATTGCTGTAGGAAGGTAACAAGCCATTACTCAATGTACGTGGCATGTTTATAAAAACATTTCATTGCAGAATAAGCATATATATATAGGATGATGCTACACGACGTCCCGTCCAGCAACGCCAGGACCCCTGTCGTGTGCCCCCAGGTTTTTTCGACAAGCCACCACATCGTGCTAACGTAAGTCATTAGCATGTCGTGACTCTCATCCAGTTATTTTTCCCTCACCTCCATACTCCTAGTTCTCTCCATGTCGCCACGATAGCGCAGCACCGCATGTACGCACGCTTCTCGGTCGCATTGTTTCGTTGTTCAACCGCACCCACTCCGATGGCAACGATCTGCTATCCCGACCTCGCCCTCTCGACAGGCCTCGAAATATTCTCTCTGAGACACCGCGCAGACCAAATGGTACATGGATCGAGTTGCACGAGCATCGCCCAGCAGTAGTTGATGTCCCATATACACAGGGAAAACGCGTATGTTCATGTCTTCTTTCTCAAATGTTCAACTCCTTCTGATACTATTTTATCCTTCTCGTATGTTCGAACACCACCTGATATCATCTAGAGGAACGCTTCAGCGAGAGAAAAACGAAAGCCAGCGGGCAGCTCACGGCCTCCCAAGCCTAGTGTCACTCAGCACTCTATCGGAGCAGCTCCAGCCCAGTCATCTTCGCAACTGCATTCTATGCCATCTGCCACGCCTGCCCCCGCCTCTACCCCTGCAGCTACAACGTCCTCGTCCTCGCGCCCTCATGTAACAATAAGACACGCCGGACGCTGGACTCGATTCTGGCTCTTTATCTGCTGTTGCAATTCTCTTGAATATACCGAGGGTCGTCAGTAATTAATTTACAGTTTTCTCGTCTCGCCGATGATGTGCTCTGCCTATTCATGCTACTCTGCTATGTGGTTGGTTATTTTGAACTATTATTTTTATACTCATTATCGTCTCTCATCAGAATACACATATGTATGCCCCTACTTCATATTTCATATTGTTGCCCTCGTTGTTGCCGTTGCACAGTTACATCCTATTAGGTTTTACACCTCTCTCCTCATCGCAGAGCCCTCTCAACAGCCTTCCCATGACAGTATAATGAACAGAACCTCTAATGACAGATTAATTAAGCTGGTTCTCATTTAGGATGTGTTTGCTCGATATCTTAACGAGGGTGTGGAGGTTTCGGTGCGCGCGTTGAATGATTGAAATATATACACGAATGATACTGACACACTGACACAATTTTAATCAGCGCGATCCTCCACAGGGCTCGGTCATTCCTATGCATCTCGCAGCTCATTACAATCATAGTAAGGGCTATCATCCTCGGGCTCACTGGCATCTGCACTATACAGCCTGCTCATGACGGGGTTGACGAGGCTCTTTCCTACAGCTTCTCTCAAACTCCTACAGTGGTAACACCCTAGCCATGGTCATTGGCCCCCTAATGATAGTCTTCTTGTAATCGTCGTAATACACTTGTGACTAGTCCTTGAGAGAGGAGAGTTTTGATGTACGTAGTCCGGCTGGATCTGGGAGTGGCGTGGCAGGGAAAAACATGAGGGTTGAAAGTGTGTGGTCGGCGATTATACCTGTAGTAAAGTACCCGTTGGACCGAAAGTACCACTCGACTTTTGAACGGAGTACAAGCCACTCTGATCATGAGCCTTATCAAAAGATGTCCACTTAGCTCAAGCCTCAAGTAAATACACTTCAAATTTGTGTAATTGAGCACACTTCCCGTTGGGAATTGGTATAACGGATGTAGGCTTGTTATTCTGATAGAAAGGCCCATCACGAAAATGATGCAGTAAGTGAGGGAAGGAAGGAATTGTTATAATGCTGCTCAAACATACGCTCAGATATTACTATGTATGTCATTCAATAAGGTAGACATGACATTATGACGAGAGAAATATGCCCTTGAATACAGTGCAAACCAGTGTCTTCACCATGGGGATTATTCAAATAGGGTTGTAAGTACAAGTCATCATGTCACCGCACCGTGACGTACTGTAACTTGAAGGATGTACAAACTAGTCGGAACCAACTATTGCATCGAGATTCAACAGCACATTTCCAGTTTCGTAGCTTGGCTCTTCGCACAACCCTGTATGTACGGGTTGTCACGACCTGCACTCGAGTTTGCGACTAACAAACTGCCGCAGCATAGCTACAGCTGAAAGAACCAAGAAAAAGGAACAGACTCGGGTTCTGGGAACGTTAGGTGGATGTTCGCCGAGTCAACGCCTGCCAGTCCCGGTGAGAAGTTCAGTTTGCAAACGATTCCGTATCCAAAGGCCGTTCCAGTTTTGTTGTGGTGCTTGAAAACGGATGTCTCTCAGGAGCTTGAGTCGACACTACCTTTGATGTTGCCCTCTTCATACTGTGGTCTGAGCGCGGATGCTGAGATGTTATCGATAGATGCGTACATTGGGTCATGACTGTCCAGTTATTGAGGAGCTTGCTCTCAATGATACAGAGTTGGCAGCTGCAGTTTTCTGTTACAGGAGTGTAAACCATCAAACTGAAATGATAATATTAGTATCAAGAACAAGGCCGATTTGGTAGTGAAAGTCCGCGTGTCATAGATATGGTGCAGGAGTAAATGAGTGAGCGCCTTATTTGAGAACTTCTCTAATCGGATTGGAATGACGGCATCTACAAGGTCGCAATGGAGACACAATTGGAACTTACAATCAGGGTCGCTTCCCCAGAGCAAGATGAAGCGAGGTCAGGGGTGCATTTTGACCACGATAATGAATAGAGGTAGACAAAACTGGCAGAAGAGGGTACAGCGAGGGGGAGAATGTGGTATAGAAAAGGATGGTGACAAAATTGTATGGGATTGCAAGAGTCTAAGATAGAAGAGGCGTGGTTTGTCCAAAGAAGACAGGAGTGGGATTGGTAGTAGACCGAGAAGTTCGACAGACGGACCCGGTGAACAGACCCACCTCAGACAAACGAGGATCGGGCGCTTCAGCTGCACAGCCTATGACCCTATGCTGTATATAAGCTGTGCAGCGAATACGAGGATAAAACGTACTAGTGAACTTCCAGTGGACCCAAATCTAACTTGACGAAAACGTTCCTTGTCCAATTGTGTCTGTGTATCCAGTCCTGCTGAAAACCATCTTTTCGGTAAGTGATTGCGTACTTTGATAAACGAAGCTTAAGGCTGAGACTGCGCTGTGGTCGGTAGTTGGAAGTATGTCTTCGCTCACTGCTAGGGCAGAGGGGACATCAGTGATACTGCCTCGCCAGAAAATTGAAGGACACACCGGTGATGTCTGGGGCGCGATACACCTGCCAGGCGGACAGTGTATCATCACTTATTCGAGGGACGGCTCGCTGCGAGTATGAGACTTGGAGAGTGGAAAACAAATAGGAGAAGACTGGCGGGATGGAGAAAGTGAAGTGTGGACCATAGCGTTGTCTCCGGACGGGAAGAAAGTGGTTAGCGGGGGTCAGCATGGTGCAGTGAAGTTGTGGGACATTGACACATGCAAGGTCATCGCAAAATGGACGGGGCACACGAAGGGTGTAGAGTCAGTCTGCTGGAGTCAAAATGGTCAGCGCGTGTTAAGCGGATCAGACGATGGGACAGCAAGGCAATGGGACGTGGAGAACGGAGAGACCATCCTCCGATCAATCGAGACTGGTCACGAACGCGTGGAGGCAGCGGTCTACTCGCCAGACACAACCATGTTTGCGACTGGTGGATACCGCAAGGACGAACAGTTTATCAAAATTTGGGATTCGAAGAAGTTGTACTCGGACCCCGGCGAAACTGGCTCTGTAAGAATGTTGGAATGTTGACTTGTTCATATATTAGTCATTTGGACTTACAAATTCCATCGGTCTTACAGGAAAAATCATTCTACTCACAATGTTCCAAAGCGCACTTCGGTCATCTGTCTTTCTACCAGTCATGCTCAGCTTTCCCTCTACAGGAGCATTGTTTGCGGCAGTCTAAGGTCACAAACATTCCGTCGATTCCTATCTCAGCAGTCTCGCGCAAAAATACAGGCTGCAGTGACAGAGTACCCTGTGGTACTGTTTATGAAGGGCAACCCAGAGCAGCCCTTGTGCGGTTTTTCACGAGGAGTCGTAAAGATCCTCAACGCTTTCGATATTCCACCTGAAAAGTTCAAGACATATGATGTCCTCGAGGATCTAGAATTCAGGTCTGGAATTAAAGAACTCTCATAAGTTATGCTTAATTCGACGTTGTCACCGACCCACAAGTGTTTCTGTTGCGGAGATTGGCCAACCATTCCGCAACTGTCTGTGAATGGCGAGTTCGTGGGTGGGAGCGACATTACTCTAAGCAGTGAGTTGAAGTTGCATGCCGAACGTGGACCTCAAACTTACGTTATTCAAAGTGTTTCAATCGGGAGAGTTGGAAACGATCCTGGAGCAGCATGGAGTCATTCCAAAGGTGTCAGAATCACCCTCTCAGTCACCTTCATAAATTGGTACATACTTTTGACATGTCACTCATCGCATACGTTAGATACTAAGTTATCATCACTCATCAAGCATTGGGGTTGTTTCGGTGGTCGACGACTGTTCGTGGAGGGACAGCCAATGAGACGGAACGACGCACTCGTGGCAATATTCTGTGAAACTCTTGTAAGTTCATATATCCCAGTTTACACCCAATGACGGTGTCTCAACGTACGAGATAGGGAATCGGGACAGACCATCGGCATGTAAGGCGGAGTCTGTCGCTAAAGTGCTTGCAGCTGTCCTTGTTGAGAATGGCGTGGAGAGCGAGCTTCTGGAGAAGATGGAGAAGGCGATCAAATGCGAAGGGTACGTTCAGACTGGGCTCTCAGTGGAGTGGGGGGTCGTTTTGCTCAATTTTTTTTGGTAGCAAATCTTGGGGTTTGAAGGTCTGAGCAAAGACTGGGAACTCATGCAACTAAGCAAAATCTGCCAGCTCATCTGTTCTTGTTCGCGGGGTGTCGTCGCACGCTTCCCAGAAACCTTTCACACCACCGTAGCCCCCCGCTGAATCCATATCCTCCTCGATCAAACGACGTCCATCCTCTCCCACGACCTCCGGTGTACCACGTAGTGCTGCCACAGTCCGGTCCTGAACATAGCTTCGATCTGGTCCGAACCACATAACTGCCAGACCAAAACGGCTGCCTACCTAAAGAAATGCCAGCCAGTCGCCTGCGTTATTTCTGCAATGAGTTGTGATCAGTATCATACAACGCCGTGAGATCATCCATAGGTTGGATATCCGGGACAGCTCATTGGGCGATGAGACTTGTGTGCAGCTTTTCAACGCTCTGGACTCTCCTGCTAGTCGAGGATGCCAAAACAGGCCAAGCTGTACCCCACGAAGAACATTATAGGTGCAAAGGATCTACTTGCTGCATCGAGGTTCATCAAGGACAATGTCGTGCTCAGGAAACTATGTCTGTTAGATGTAAGTACGGACCTTCCTTATGGCGTTTTCCTGTTAAAATCTCAGACTAACACTGTCCTCATAAATAACGCAGAACCATTGTCGACCAATGCGGATACAGCTCACCACTGCGTTGAATAGCTCGAGACTATGCACGCTCCAGTGATTCATGATGGCACTTTCTCCGACACCTTGTATTTCTTCTCAGCCTTAGCAGCACGCTATTTGCGTCAACTCGACCTTTCTGCCATCAGTATCACCAGAGTTGTGGTCCCTACCGTCATCGAATATGTGACATCACCACGCCGCACTCTGGGCCGACTGCAGTGCAACGCGAACAGCCTGACACTGCCCAGCACACGCAAAACTGGTTCACCCTATACTGCGCCCCGACGGTCCCCAGCACCTGCAACCACCATCATCCATGTATTGTCGTGTGCTCTAGGTCATGGTGTTATCAAGAAGGAACGATTATCTTCTTTCTATATGGTCTAAGAGTCGACAAATGAAAATTCGATGGACTTGCTGGCATGGCGTTCTGTCGAGCAATAAAAGCTCTATAGGCAAACAGGTGAACTCAGAGTCCTCCGACTTAAAGCCCACACAGTGCGACGCATCGGCCATCGCTGAAAGAAGGAAACAAGACTTTGGGAATTCGAAGATGAGGAAATCAGCAGCAGGTGCGATTGTAGCTATCGCCCTTGCTGTCTTGTCGTTCACGAAAGCGTTGCCGCCTGAAGCAGTGGTGTGTCGACAGTTGTAGTTCTACAGCGCTATATCTAAATCTCTTCCTCGTAGTACGTCGACCCTCTAATGTACTTTCAGCTCAACCTCTCCGATACTGTCCAAATGGCCAACGGGGGAACGGGCCCATATAAAGGAGACCTTCTGTTCGTCACTCCAGGTTGCGCTTTACTTCCTCCTTCGATCGTGCGTGTCAATCCCAACTCTTCCTACAGCACCACTGTCCTTTTAGACAACTTCTTAAGCAGACAGTTCAACTCGCTCAATGATATTAAAGTTCTTCCAGGCACGGACATCATGTTCTTCACTGATCCTCCGTGAGCAATTGATTGGACGATGGTGTTCACAATGCAAATAGTAACCTTGGTTCAGCTATTGAGCACATGATATCATGGTATACTAATGACTGATTCGCAACATATCAAAAGCATCTGTACACAAGATAAAGAGTTTGAAGGAGCAGAAGATCTACAAGTAAAGGCTCAATAGCAAAAGTCATGCTAAAGGTACAACAGGGTCGGACGTCCTTCTACGTGGTCGGGTGAACGAAATATGATAACTTCCTTTGTCATCTCCTTTTTCCACTTTGCGGTTGCTGCGAGATGAGGAGATGCATTTGCATTCGAGGACAGCAAGAATCCGGTAAATGGACTAGACCTGTCAATGAAACCTTCCTCGTCGCTTACTACGCAATAGTCGAGGACACCTATTGCCCAGTTTGCGTCATGAAGTTTGTGCTTGGGACCAAGGTACGTTACATCCACCTTAAAGTGATCATGCCTGAACGTGATGCACGAGTTGTGCGAGTATTGGCTTATGTCTGCCTCGACTTCCAGTAGGAGAACCCTGACTTCAAGGCCGTGGTTGGTCAAGGCAAAGCGCCTATCTCCATTCTCGTAGGGTGCGCCCTCATCAACTGCGCTGTGAGATGTTTCCGTACATCCCCCAACATAGCAGTGTGGAGCGTTTGGGAGGGCCGCGTTGTAACGGGAACAACGTCCGCTCCAGAGAAACACGTCCCATTTGTCGTATCTCTTCAATATCTCCTCCATGAGGCGGAAGAAGGCTTTGTTGCCCTCGCCATATGCAATCATGAAACTGATGTCTAATATTCCGATAAGGCTGTAAGCGACGTCTTCGATGCGAGTCGTTCGTCTCCTGGATGCCCACAACATCTTTTCTGGCACTCGGTCTATGCCAGGTGTGAATGACCGGAGATCAGTCACATCGATGTTCGTGAGGTCTGATATCTTTGACATGATGACCTCGTTGTCTCTGTCGTTCGTAGGGTCTTTGATGAGGGGCTTCCAGTCGTTTCCGTAGAATTTGATTCGCAACGGAGCGAGGAGCTCTTGAAGTGTCCACCCTCTTGTGAACCAAGCATCGATATTCGCTTCTTCACCTCTTTCACCCTTCTCCTGCTTTTGAAGCGCTGCGATGTGTGCCGTTCCCGACAGTAGAGCGATGCACACATGAGAATTCCTGTACCAGCGAAACATGGAGCGGATGGATTCATCCAGCTCTGAGCTGCTAGTTTTGTCTATGCAGCACGTATCGGACCAAGCGAATTCGCAATCGTGGTCATCTATCGCTGCACGGCAAAAGTTTTCAAGTTTCTGCCATCCTTTTCCGGGGCGATCGGAGAGTTCGATCAGTCCCTTCGACACATCGCAATGCAGAGGCTCTTCTTCATCTGACAACCATCTATGTGAGAACATGGCATATTTCAGTTCTTCCTTCAGCCGCGCTTTGATCCTATCTTCCCTGTCCTCGTCCATAGGCGTTGTTTTGGGGAATTCTGCGGAAATCTTTTTGAGGACTGGATCGAAGAATCGCTCCTTGATGAAGTTCCGGTTCACGAGTTGAACTTTTATCTTCTGATCATCTTTGCTGATATGAAGTAGATGGATGGGTATCTCGTTGTCAATGTACTCATAGAATACTTCTTTGAGTTCTTTGTCTATGGGGGAAGCAGAGGCGCTCATGATAAGAACGTCGCCCAGTGACTGGGAAGTCGTCTAGGAATGTTAGAAGACAGCGAGTGTCATATGTATAGGCGCGAAACTCACGATTGATGACCTCTGATGGTGGTGGTGGTGACTGGGAGACTCCCTAGACGCCCTGCAAGCGATATAAGAAGTTTTCGCTTATACAGCTTTGTGAACTGCTGTAAATGAAGAAACACGAGGACCTGTGGATCTATACTCAGCATACCGTGTGCCGTTAGCCTTCTTCTCGTGGGCTACCGATACAGCAGTTCATTGCCTTCATGAAGCCTGTACAAGTCATCCTGTACTGCATTCAAGATTTCGGAGCTTCATGATGATCAACTAGTCTGGAACATTTATCTGCTGTGACCGGACCGCATGATGCGAAGATTACCACACACATTGTCTGCACAGTGGGGTAACTGCCTCTGGCTGTTCGGCGATGGCCGCTGTTGGTTCAGATAAACGCGAGAACAAGCGCTGGACGCTTTCTTTGTAGCATCAGTTATCATTATCAAGCAAGAAGTAAACTCGACCCCTTTCATGTAAGTAGTTATCCGTCAAAGAGCTTGAGTCGATGCAACTTTCGATGTCTCCCTCTTCAGTCTGGACGTACGGGTGTGCAGCGTGGTGAACGTCGGATCATCCATGTCAACTGGGGGGCTTGCCCTCGATGATCCGGAGTTCCTGATATTTCCTCGTCTGAGGACACAGCCGCAGCGATCTGTTGCAGGAAGTAAAATGTCAGACTGAGTGGTACGCCTAGGAGACAAGTAAGACGTACAATTACGATACATCTACCCGTCCTCAACATCGCCTTATCGGCGCTGATCAACCTTCTTCCCCTCGTTCTGCAATGCACACGCTCGTATGTCATAACAAACCTTCACCAAGCCCTCGCCTTGAAGTGTATTTTGTATGGGTCACAGAACAGCATGCCTAGTAATGTGTTATGTCCGCCGCATCGTCGACTCGTGCTTGTTCTAGCTTTGGAGTCCTTTCAAAGTATTGTGACCGTAGGTCGGTTTCCTCCTGCGTCAGTTAAAACTTGCATCCATCAACACCATATTGCTCCCGTCACGAAAAAAGACCCAACCTTGTAAATCTTGCGCTCAACCTCGGGTCTTGTGACAGGCGGGGACTGGGTAATGCGCTTTGTGGCACATGTATTCTACTTCGAGGGATTGGAGAATGGCAGGTACTCGGTGACAAGATTTTGCAGCATCCACTGAGGTCAATAACCGGATTTAGGCGAGGACGCTGGAGTATTTTAGCTGAACGAGCTTCAGGATATGCTCCGTGGATTGTACTTTGTAGTGTGCACAGTATGACCAGGACAATAGACTCGTCGTGATCAAGCTGTCTGACGTAGTACGACCTTGTGTGAGAGTGAGAGATGATGGTTTTGACGTGGTCAGAGTGGTGTGGCTGGGCGAAACATACGCCGGTGACGAAGCAAAACATTCGTTTAACTTGTGTTTAATGCATGGAAGCCTGAAGGCATGCATCCAAGCATAAGTTAGCCTCTGTCACAAGCCTACGAGTCGGTCACCGAGTCAGTGCTCTTAGTAGGTTCACATCAATTTCTAGTCTCAAGATCACTCATCCTCATTCATCCAGTACTATGATAGTCTAGTGACTAGCCTTCAGTACTATTCCAAGCTAGAAGTCGAAACGTCGATTGCAAGTTCCTGTGGATGCATTGATATCAGGGTGTTCTACTTACGGGCCAGGCGGGTGTCACCCACGTCCTGCACTCGATTTTGCAACCAACAAGCTGCTGCAACATAGATTCTCAGTGGTTGAGCATGACTCGCCTGTGTCGGCACTAGGAAAGATCCGTGAGTGACTACAGCATCGTGCCTGACCTCCTGGGACCTACAATCAGACAAGCGCCCAGTCGTCCTTCAACTACATTCCACCAACATCCAGCGAGCTTCGTATACCACCGGAACCGTCAACATCTGGACTCGGTCAGCTCATTGCCGTTGGACAGACTTACTCCAGAGTCCAGAACATCGTTTCACAATTTCAGTACCCGCCATCCTAAGTTCCTCGTACCCGACTAGTACTTCTCGGAGTGATTCTATTCATCTCACAATCCCTGTTACAATTATCATCCACCCTCTATGTTAGTATATCCATCTCTTACTATCCCCTCTTGTGTCCTCTGACCTCATCAACAGTCCTTGGATATGTCTGAAGGAACTTGGGAGAAGTTGTCACAGATTGCTGTCAAGGGTGCTGAACACGACTCTCGTGAACGCCAACCCCATCCCAAATGTTTAGAAGGGACGCGGGTGGTCCTTCTCAACCGCATCTCCGAATTATTCAACAAAAAGAAGAGTCACCTCATTTGGCTCCATGGTGCAGCGGGCGTCGGAAAGTCTGCTGTTGCGTTCACTGTAGCTGAAAGGATGAGAGGTCTGAAAGTGACAGAGGAGACGAATGTCGAGAAGCGACTTGCGGGAACATTCTTTTTCTCGCGCAAGCACACGAAACGCCGCACGACTGGTTATTTCTTTGCGACGCTTGCATACCAGCTGGCCATCAATTTTCCCAGCGTCAAGACGCACGTGAAACAAGCTATCCTCGAGAACCCTGCCCTTCTAGACTCCGACAAGTCTCTTCGCGATCAGATGGAGGCGTTATTTCTGAGACCTTTGCGGAAGCTTCAATCCAGACTGCGCGAGTGCCCGCCCTTGACGTTCGTCATCGATGCCCTGGATGAATGCACACCCGAACCCGCCAACGAACCTACATCCGAACCCCTCGATGAATCCACCTCTGAAAGCGAGCTCGCTGATCTCATCTCACTACTTGGCGAAGCTATTCGTGACCCTGATATACCCGTCACCCATATTCTACTTACGAGTCGCTCGGAAGAGCATATCCGTAAAGCCATGCAGACAAAAGAGATGCGCCCACTGGTGTGCGAGATACCAGTGAAGACCTCTGGGGAGGGCGTCGCTGCCACCATCTCGTTAGATGGCGCAGATGTCGACAATGATATTTATATTTTCTTGCAGCATTCGTTCAGAGACCTGGAAAGTCGCCATCCTGATTTTCCACAGCCATCGAACGATCAACTTGCGCGCTTAGCGAGCCGAGCAGGCAGACGCTTTATCGTTGCATCTACGATGGTGAAGTTCATTGATGATCGAAACCATGATCCTCGGAATCGGCTTCAACTCATGCTCGAACTAACGAGTGAACTGCTACCAGGAACAGAGGTCTACAGGTTATATGACTCTATCCTCTCCACGTGTGCCGACCCCTCGCTGGCATACCTGCACTTGTCAGTTGTTGCTGCCCTTGCAGACCCTCTGCTGATGTCACAAATATCGAAACTTCTTGGCCCCAGTCACGGCAGAGACATCGAGACAATTCTGCTACAGCTCCGGTCTATCATAGAAATTCCTACCGACAGCAATCTCCCTGTGAATATCTATCATTCGTCTGTTCGCGACTATGTTTCCCATCGCCCAAACTGCAACCTCCATCAAGTACAATATGTCATTTCACCGCACTCCCTACTCGCACTTTCCTCTCTCCAGTTGATGATGTATGATATTTCGGGAAGCACGACCCTCCTGGATGCGCTCTCAGAATTGAACAGGCAGAGCCAAGCTTTGGATCCCCACAACCCTCGGGATTTAAAACACTCTTTATCCTTCATGGTTCAGCCACCGGAGCCAATGCAAGTACTCATAACGCTGCTTTGGCTTCGGGGGAACCGTAGTTCAGAGTTACAATTCTGGCTAGAGACCTTGGACGGGCGTGCCTGGCTGCAGACTCAGAGAGGGGAGGACTGGCTGGTGACGCAGGGCGGAAAGGACTGGCTGGAGAAGCAAGGGGGGCAGGACTGGTTGCTGACCCAGGGGAGAAAGGGCTGGCTGGAGACCGCAGGTGGGCGAGTTTGGCTGGAGACCCCGGGAGGGCGAGTCTGGCTGCGGTCTCCGGGCGGGCAAGATTGGCTGCAGTCTCCGGGCGGGAAAGACTGGCTGGAAACTGTGAGTGTGCTAGATTGGCTGGAGACCCCTGGCGGACAAGTCTGGCTGCAGACTTTGGGAGGGCGAGACTGGCTGGAGACCCAGGACGGGCGGGACTGGCTGCTAACGCGGGATGGGCGAGACTGGCTGTTGACACAGGACGGGCGAGACTGGGTGCTGACAGAGGACGGGAAAACCTGGCTGCAGAGCCTGGACGGGCGAGCTTGGCTGCAGAGCCTGGGCGGACGGGCCTGGTTGCTGACACGGGGCGGGGGAGGCTGGCTGATGACACGGGGCGCGACCTGGTTACTGACACAGGGTGGGCGGGCCTGGTTGCTGACACAGGGTGGGCGAGTGTGGCTGCAGGCAGAAGGCGGGCGGATTTGGCTGTGGACAGAGGGCGGGCGAAAATGGCTGCGAACAGAGTGCGGGCGAGACTGGATGCAGACAGATGGCGGGCAAAGATGGCTGCGGACAGATGGCGGACAAGACTGGCTGCAGACAGATGGCGGGCGAGAATGGCTGCAGTTCCCGAAGCAAGAACACTGGTTGCAGACCCTCGATGCGCCTAGGCTATCCTCGCTGCTGCCACCACCTCCGCAATACTCACCCCCATCCCCCCAGCAATACTCACCCCCATCTCCCCAGCAATACTCACCCCCATCCCCACGCCCCCAGCCATCCTCGCCACCAGCTCTCACTAGGGCAGACCTCGTGCAGACCTGGAACGAATCCTGGCTGCAGATCCATGGCATGACAGACTTGCAGACCCCAGATGGGGAAGGCTGGCTGCAGACCCAGACCGGACGATACTGGCTGCAGACCCAGGCGGGGCAACATTGGCTGCAGACGCCTGGCGGGCGAGAATGGTTGGAGATGAGGAGTGAGGGATCTTGGTTACCGACTCCACCCGGGCGACGTTGGCTGCAGACCCAGAGCGGGGAGGATTGGCTGCAGACCCAGGGCGGGCGAGAGTGGTTGCAGACTCAAGGTGGAGAAGTCTGGTTGCAGACTCAGGGCGGCAACGACTGGCTTCAGACCCAGCACGCGCGAGAGTGGTTGCAGACCCAGGACGGGCGTCAATGGCTGCAGTCCCCAAGCATGCGAGAGTGGCTGCAGACCTCTGGCGGGCGAGAGTGGCTGCAGACCCAGGACATACGAGACTGGTTGCAAACCCAGGGCGGGCGACAATGGCTGCAGTCCACGAGCGTGCGAGACTGGCTGCAGACCTCGGGCGGGCGAGACTGGCTTCAGACCCAGTACGGGCGATCCTGGCTGCAGACCTACGGCGGGCGAAAATGGCTGCAGACCCAGGGCGGGCAAGACTGGCTACAGACCCAATGTGGCCGAGATTGGCTGCAGACGCCACATGGTCAGGCATGGCGGTTGACCACTATGTGGGTGACCATGGAAGAATTCTTGAACACTTTGGAGGCAGTCAGAGAGTATACAATCATTCCAGAATTGCGTTTGCAGCCAGTTTTTCGAGTTATCCAGCAGTTCAACGACCTGCCGGATTTCTTGATCTTCCCAGCATTCCTAGCATTAAGACACCAGGATCAATCCACTGCAACATTGTCGCAAGGTAGTCTTCCACCAGACATGGGGATCATCCACGTTATGAAAGACTTTTCAAGTCTCGCATACGAGGCACGGGAACGAAGTCGATCCACTTCTGATATTCTCAACTATGCATGCCAAAACTGGGCCGTCCATCTCTCCCGAGCTCCGAATCCGTGGGACGAGAGACTCGCCCATATATTCAAGACCTTTTGGAATCGTTATTCCCTCTCCTGGCTCGAGAGACAATGGTGTTTGAAGGACCTACAGTCTTGCCTCACTATTTTAACCATCGGCCAGAAACTTGCACAGGTGTGTGTTCTCAACGGTTTTCTCCGCTCACAACCTAACCCATGCATCTCTGCATATAGGAACATCTACTGCAAGCTCCTGGGTCATCTCATTAACCTGTCTTTTATCGTACATTGATATTGATCCCTTGCTGTCACATTACTCAAATGTTTACAGTACCGTGTTGGTAATATGCATAGTATATTAGCAACCCTGTTTTCTTTCTCTGTATTGCTACATTTCGTGATGATGAGCGTGATGCATTGATGGAACAGCCTTGAATGCTTCGGATTAGTATGTGGCTGTGCTGAATATGTCCCTATCCGAAAATTCCTTCCTCTTTACGTTCTGCAACGACTTTCAAATCGAGGACGCTCTTCGGGGAGTCGGGACCTTCATTACACGCTGGCCGCCCTCTCGTGTTCGAAAAATTTGCTGCCGGAAGCTTTGTGTGGAGGCAGAGTTGCAAATAATGCACGTATCTCAACATCGACTAGGACGTCTTTGAACAGCCACAGAGTTTCTTGCTCCGCCAAGAACCTGAGTTTCCTCGGAATTCAGAACTATTTTACTGGTTTTGAAAGACACGTTCAGAAACGCGATAAACATCTTGGGAGCATACGTCGGGCACAGTTTTCGGTTTCGTGTTCCTCACGAAGTTCAGCGCAGGTGTTGCTTCAAAACCCAAAGGAATCGGATATCCCAGCAGAACGTTATTACTCTGGAAGTTCTGCCCCTCCTCTACCTTCTCAACGCTCTGATTGGCGTCTAAGAGCTACTTCGCGCATCAACCGCACTCAACCCGTTGATAGTCAGCGACACAGGAGATACATTAAACGTGCAAATCCTCCCCAAATCGAAGTACAACAGGGAGAGCCATTTTACGAAGAGATACAAGCCTACAACAAACAGTCCGTTGCTCCTCCGAATCTGGTTGTTGTATTGAATTAATCGTCTACAGTTTCTTATCCCTCCTCGAGTCTGAACAAGCCGAGGATGAGGCAGTTTTGAGGGAACGACTCTCCACTTGGTCGTTGTTTCGACTACGAGAAGAAGGCTATGCTATGACGGGTCTTTCTGCCTTTTGGATGGGCGCACCAAAGTTTGGACGTCCTGTGGCTTCATTTTCTCTTGGTCCTGGTGTCGACTTGCCAGAACACAGATTTGAGTGAGTTTCTGTTTCAAATGGATTCCCGTGGGATAAGTACTTACTTTGTTCAGGAATGGTACTCAAGTTCTTGTTTCACGATTCGATCCTCTTCAAGAGCCGCCATACCGAGGAAGTGTTCTTAGCAGTACAGGATCACAACTGCGCATATCATTTGAAGAGAAATTCGAGGTTGAAGACGGCTGCTGGCGCTTGGACGTTGGGCGGTCTAACATCGTGTTCATTCGTATGCGAGACGCCATTTCTCGCTTCAATCAAGACCCGCAAGCACTTGAAGACCGAAGTCATTCCTCTTCAGACAACCAGTTCATTCTCCATGGAACGCATTTGCGAGACGTACTATTACGTTCGTTTTCCCCCGACAAACCGTCACTGCATATACCGTTGCAGCCTCCAGATGAGGTTGCATATGTAGCTCGAGGGACACTCGAGCATGACAGTCGCGAAGTACAAGACCATGGAGGCGCGTTCAAGGAGGACATGTGCATTCAAAGTTGGGCAAGACGATACTCACGCATCAACCCAATTGCGATAGATGGCGACCCGGTCCTTGAGGGCCTGAATGCTACTCAGATCCGAGCTATTGCCATGATGATTGGCGAAAGGATCAGTCTTGTTCAGGGAGTACGTCTCATCACGTAAAAATGGCTTATTTGAAAACTAAATGTCGCTCACTACAGCCGCCTGGTACAGGCAAAACGAAGACCATCATCGAAGCCGTGAAACTACTCAAGGTTTGATATTCTTTTCCATTAATTTGATATTGGTCTCTGATATGCTATTCAAGACCCACTTCGAAGTGCATCACCCTCTTCTTGTTTGCACTTACACCAATGTTGCGGTCGATAATCTAGTGGAGGGTTTTGCAATGGCCGGCGTAAAACCCCTTCGAGTCGGGTTCAGTGGTAAAATCAAATCGTCTCTATACGAACATACGTTGGACGCGAAGTTGGAAGCGCATCCTCTCAAGCCTAAAGCCGATCAACTTCTGAAAGAGCAGGAAAGTGCCGAAAGAAAGTTAGGCGCGCTGGAGTACAAGATCGTTGCGGCTGAAAAATCAGGCAATGAAAGGCTCGGCAGTATGCGGAGCGCGTTTTCGGCATTGGAGAGGCAAGTGGTGGCGCTGAAATCGAAGCTGTATGCGATGCATCAGGAAATGCTCAACGGTATTATTGCTGCGTCCGACGTAGTGAGTATCCACCATGTGCCCCACTTTGTCACGGACTCACGACTCCTTGGTAGATTTGCACGACGTGCATTACATCAGCCAGTGCTGCACTCAACGTTCTTGACTTTCCAGTTGTGTTCTTAGATGAGGCATCCATGTCGACAGAACCAGCGTCACTCATTCCTTTGATGCGAGGAGTGAGCTGACTGACCTTTGTATGCATTCGTGTTCTGACCATCATCACAGTCTCAGCATGTTGCACTTATTGGAGATCACAAACAATTACCTCCCGTCATCATCAGTCGCGAGGCGCAACTTAACGGCCTTGGGATCAGTCTGTTTGAAAGACTTACTGAGGAAGGAGGTGTGTGATTTCTGTCACACGTCGAGAGATTTCTTATCAGATTTATCAAATTATAGTTGTGCCGTCAATTATGCTTGACGTGCAGTACAGGATGCATCCTTCTATTTCTAGATTTCCCTCGCTAGAGTTTTATAACTTTGCGTTGCAAGATGGGACGGTTGACTCTGCAGGTAACATACACCCCATGCTTCTACCCCCGCTGTCAAGTCACCTGGAGCAAAATGTTCTCACCGGTCACCGTCCCTCTGTCGTATTCATCGATCACGGGGGCGCGGAAACTTCCAAGGACCGAAGCAGGGTGAACTGGAACGAGGCTCACATTGTTTGCAGCATCGTTGAAGACCTACTGCTGCAGAACGAGGTGAGCGCCGCCTCGTTGCCGGGTATGTTTTACTGACTTTATTTCTCAGAACCTGCGAGGAGAGGACATAGGTGTCATTGCTCCATACGCTGCCCAAATTTCACTATTGTATCGCCTCCTAAACACCGACGCCAAGTATCGCAAACGCTTCGCATCTACCCTGGGTGATCACCGAATGATGCAGCTTAGCAGCATCGAAGTGAAAACGGTTGATGGATTCGAAGGACGCGAGAAGGATGTGATCATCTTTTCGACCGTGCGAAATAATACGTCGGGGTACATTGGGTTCCTTGCTGACAGGCGAAGATTAAATGTTGGCCTAACGCGTGCAAAGAGAGGGTTGTTCGTTGTTGGGAGCATCAACACCCTGAAGGCTGGGAAGATGGCAAAGGGTAGGTTCGGCGAGGGTCCTGCCAGAGTGGGTAAGGGCGCCGAGGCTTGGAGGAGATATGCGAAATATCTCCTCGAGGAGAATATGGTTGTGACCCTTAGTGGTGATAGACTAAGGAAAGTGCTGCATGGGGATGCCACAAGGACGATGTTGAGCTGAGTTTTTCTACGTGCTATGTACTTAGCACACATTGTCATTCTTAATGCTATTATGTGGGGCCGCTCCTGTTCGCGTGCGACTGTCAGGAACGACGTAAGTTCATCGACCTCGAAGAAGTTGACAAGAAGAAGCCCTTCCGAGGCTATGTTGTCGATGATTGATTGACACTTGGGCGCTCGTATTACGTTGGACATATGGGACAAGCCGGAATAACTTGGCACTACCGAAGCCGGACGACATGCAGCGTACGCGACATGGCAACCCTGACTGTCGCATAAAATGCGATACTTGTCCAGTTGTGCATTCCTCGTGTGCTATAAGCACAGTTGACCCGGAATTCGTGCCGCAATGACAATTACAGTGCGTAACGAAGCTCAAGGGATTCGATCGCAGCCTTCGCTAAACAAGTTTCTAATAACGCGCAGTTCTTATATAAGTATATGGGGTAGTCTAAAAGCCTTCAGGCAGGATGAGTACGTGAATACACCCAGATCCGAACCGCATAACTTGAAGCGGGTCCGGCGCCATCGCTCGAATCACTGTTAAGTGACCCAGGGTGAGCGCAACTTTTAAAATTCAATTTGCCCCAGTTGTCTGCACCGCCCGATATTTTCTGATATACGGGATTCGATGTAGTCCGAGCCTCCGAGGCTCACATGACGTGAAACGGGGAGGGAGAGAAAGGTTAAATCAGTTATTCTGAATTCACAACCAGTCACAACCCTGTTCATTCCTCAGCGAAGTCTGAAGATTCGCGCCTTCTTTTTTTCAGGGACAAATTGCAGTTGGGACTTCGATGATGCTGTGTTCCATGTAGGGTCTCGTGGTTCGCATAAGCTTCCGTAGGGACATCCGTGGGCCGTGGCCACCGAAGTGTTTGCGTCTATGATACACCTCAAAAAGGGAATCTGTTGATCCGTTATGCCTCATGACAAAAGCGTTGAATACGCTTGCAAGAGCGCGGGGTTCCGAATCGTATGGAACCGACTCGGTGCCGTGACCAGGGTAGCAATTCATATTGATCCTCCGCCAGCCTAACGGGTGTCCATGTCTCGCAAACATTCCCGGGACTGTATGTAGTTGGATGACCGAGGATCCGGCGTAGAACTGAGATAGGATCTTCTTGGATAAATTGTTGATGATTTCGATGTTGGAGTTAGTTTACGTAGTTACGGAAGCAACCGACCGAGCAACTGCACTGTGCACTAGCCACGTGGGATGTGAGGCGACTTATCGCACTCTAATTTGACGGTGTGAAATGTGAAATTTGGATGTCACCCAACTGTTGATAGTTACTGAGAGTGACGGAATGTATGACCAACTCTATACCGTCATTACAAAAAGTATCTTCCAGGACACTTCAAAAGCACCTTGGACGATGTTTTTTTTATCACTCCCACTTATTCCCCTCATTGCTTGTCACGGCGGAGACCATCCTCAGTAACAACATCCTCGTCTTCTCTCTTACAACCGGGCTTGAATATTCCCATTTTTACATTTTCTGGTAGTAGTTTCTCTATTTGTGGTCTCTAGAAGACGACTCGCGCGTTCCATTACGATCTTCAATCACTTTAATCTGCAAATCGCTCAATTCACAAAGTTCTTTCTGCAACCATCTCACTTGGCAACCAACAAATGCCATCTCCGCTGGCGGTAACATTTGGTTCAAATAGCCGCGACTCTTTACCAGACAACACTCGTCGCGGTACACCTCCTATGTCCCTCCTCTCCCCCTCCCATGCAGTCTCTTTCGAAAACATGTTGCGTCAATTCCGAAAATTGTCGGCACCATCATGTAATTCATCCCTACCCCAGACTGTGAATTATCCGCTCGTACACCTCGACTCCGTCGGACCTAATTGTATGCCTCGATCGGCTAATTCTCAGCCGCCTTCACCCCTTGCTCATCTGGGCGCCCCATTCGTCCCTGTATCCTGCCAAATGTCAGACGATTTAGACATCGGTAGCCCGATATATCACCGCTTTCACAACGACTCCCACTTGGATTTGTCTCCGACATCGTCAGGGAGCAGTGAGGCAATTTCCTTGCCGTCACCACGCGAGTTTCCTGGCAGTCGGTCATCATTTGAGCAATTCAGAAATACGCGATCACGCGTCCTTCATGTAGGTACCTCGGTTATTACGCGTTTTATATCTAACATACTCCAAACTTGAAGCTCCAGAAGGATCATCGCTGGCCATTGCCATCGTTTGTTTCCTTCTTTAAAGAGGTAAGCGCACCTCTAGTAGAAACTTCGCAGCAGTTGAAAATTGGTTGAACAGGGACGAGATCGACACGCTCTTGTCAGACCGCCCATGGCTATGTGGGCCGTGAACGAGAGCGTTGAACCAAATGATGTCTGGGCGATGTTCCAGTCACACGAAGATGTAAGTCATTGTTCCCTCGAAGGGTTTATTTCCGCGTTCCGGAAGCGCATCATTTCCTTTTTTGGATAGTGACGGGGCAGCGTGTCTTCCACGTGGAAGTGGTTTAGAGCAAAGGATACCGTTGCATCGGTCTCATTGCTATACCAGTCAGGCACGCGCGATATAACTCACTCGACCTGCTGGCTCATTTTATTTGTTCATCTGCTTTCACTGATTATCCGATATCAACTTGAAATTTGTTGTACTGATGAACATGGCCTTTCTTAGGCCTGTACAACACTTTCTCTCTCTCATCCCTCCATCACCATCGTACCTGCTCTTGAGAGCGATTTAGAACCTTTCGATAGGCTGCGCAGAGTTGATTCCGTGTTCAAGGTGCGTCATATATTCAGTTGCGCAGCAATGGCTCAACCCGCAGTTCCATCAGAAACCTGTGTTTTCGTATCCTGCTGGTCACAATCTACTTCGCATGTCCTTGTCAACGCCCGACCTTCACAAGTGTGTACACGTCGGCACGCCCACATTCGTACAGAGCTCTATGGGGTCACAAAACGATGACTTTGTCATCTCCAGCAACCCGCCTAACCCGCGGACGACGTTCAGATTGGGTGACTGGATGTAAGCACTTTCAATTACGACTGGATTAATTTGCAAACGATTCCATTTGTGATCGGTGTGATCGCCTCGTGGAGTTGCCTAGACCTTTTAGGGGCAACTTTATTTTGAAATGAAATGTTGAGTCAGTGCTGACTAGTTCCTCCACAGATGCAATTCGCCCAACTGCGCAGCGCACAACTTTGGGTGAGTCTCCTTCTTGACGTCACCATGTCTTGGCGCAGTCTTTCAATCTTGTTGGATTGGAGAATCTCGAAGGCGAAGCTAAGAGAACGCGTCACACTCGACCTCGGTCGATCATCTGCGTCATCGTTACCTACTTCTCTTCTGCTTATCCGTATCTTTCATTTATCTGATTGCTCGCCACCTTCCTTCTCCCTTCCGCTCTCATGCAAGGATGGTACTGACTGATTCGTTTCCTTGTATGATTTTACACAGACGTAATTTAGCTTGCAGAGGTTGTGGATGTCCACGTTCTGACAACCAGCCCTCAACAATGCAGCGGCAAGGGTCTTGCGGGCCACCCGCGTCGCGTCTTCCAGTATCACCTCGTTTCGTCAATCCATCCGGACATGCGCCCATGTCGCCAAGCCCCCTCTCTCCATCGCTTACCTCCCCTCTTTACCCCAGTGTCGGTCATAATGTGCGTCATGCACCGCACCCTATCCAGCCTAGCATGATGAGTGCAAAGCCTCCCTCGCCTACCCACCCACTCCTTACCCCATCTGGACGTTCCTTTGCGGTGGGAGGTAAGGTGCAAAACATATCTTCGGATCCATTGTCGCCGTGCGTCATGTATTGGCCGGACAACGAATCATTCCCAGAGCAAGGTCAAATTCGACCAAGCAGTTTGATGGTTGCTCCAGTAAGCACTGCATTTTGTGCCCTCCTTCCCATGACTGACGCACCATGCTCCCAAGCAGCCTCCGATCCTCAACACTGGTAACCGCGGGCCCATTGAACATCAGCCTGGTGATTGGATATGTCAGAAGTGCAATTATCTGAATTGGAGGCGCCGCAAAGTTTGCCAGACTTGCTTCCCTTGTGGGTGCACACTATCTGCGATGTCGAATTCTTACTAACTTCCTTCAGATGCTGAAGGAAATGGCGATTCCATCTCCGCTGCCGTGCAAGCGGAGCGCATCAACTTACTTACATCGCTCCTTGCGCAGAACCAGCTTCCGCTCGCGAGTGGCCCTGTATCCCTTCCATCTCAAGCATCCCGATCTCATTCCATGACGCCACCGCAGCGCCGTCGCATGTTCATGGACAACATTCATCAGAACCAAGTACCATACCGATCGCGTTCGCATTCTAATTTTGACTTAAGCACCCAATATTCCGATTCCCAGTTTATCTATGAAACGTCCGCTCCCCGTCGTGCCTCACCATCTTCGTTCCCAAGCCTTGGTGATCTCGAGGACTGTCTTCCTGCCAACATTCCTGCTCCTTTACTTCCCTCTTTCTTGCAGGATATCGTGCAGTCTCCCACTCTGTCGCCAAGTTCCACGTCATCTGCTGACCTATCTCCTGAGGATTACGATGATAGTTTCTCTTCGGGACGTTCATCGTTCGGGAAGGAGCGCATTACTACGAATGACTCCTCCTTGAACCTGCCTGTTAGCAACATTTGGAAGTTGAACGATGAGGAAACGAAGGGCATCGCAGGTGTTGCGTTGCCTAACATAGGCGTCATAGGGAGCAGGAGAAGCAGTCACGAGGTACTGCGTCGCCGATCCAATTCGCCTTGATTGTGAGTTCTTTCTTCGTTCCACTGAATATTGTGCTCATGATTCCTTCAGTTTTCATTTATAATACATTAAGCATTAGGGAAGGATACCGACAAGCAAGGTCTCTGATGGACATGTGGAAGCGTCCTGGGTATTGTACGGAGAATATGGTTAGAGTGATCGTTCTGGTATTTTTATTTGTTCTTTCCCTAGTGCTGGCTCATACGACGGACTGCTTGCTTCGACGCAAGACGTCCTCGCGCATTTTTTTCTGCTTCATCTTCGCACTTTCAAGTTGGATCTCGCAATCGTACCAGCATATTCTGCATATTGTTTATCTTGGTCATTTATTTTATCTTGGAGTTCCTTACGCCTCTCTTATGTACTACTGCATAGTCCTAATTGTGTTCGTAAAAGTCTGCAATAGTATTGATGTCTTAGCGTGTTAAAGGCAGTGTTTGTGCATGTTAGAATCAGAAGGTATTGGACAACAACGAACACCACACACAAATAACGCGCTTCCTAATTCCGCTGGTCGTACTGCAGTCGCTCTTGCTATCTATGTTACACCACATATCATGTCTGGTGTTGTAATACAACTTCAGCAATATCAGCCTTCCGCCGCCACCACCTTCCTCACGGACCAATCAGGACATACACGAGATGCGTCTGGAGATTCTGACCTCCTTCGCTCCATACGTGCTGCTATTCGAAGTTCTGGTACTAACGCTGTGAACACAACTTTTAGCCCCTTCTTCACAGGCGGTTCGGAGTCCTGGATAGACCAAGAACTTTCTGGAATGACTATTGCGTTCGTCCTGAGCGAGGGAGGCATCATCAAAAGGAAATGGGACCTCACCCAAGAAAACCAGATCATCCGGCATGCTTGCATTGGAAAGCTCATGCAGTCGACGGGATCTTCTAGTCGTCAAGCTCATGGCAGTGCTCACTACACGCGATCCAACGAAACGCCCGGAACGACGAACATCTTTGGGCCCTTTGCCTCGCTCAGAGGTGAGGCTAAAGCTGTCGAGGATTTGGACGAGGAAATATCGGGTGTATTTGTTTTTTTGAGAAGTATTGGAAAGGTTTTCTTGCAGAATGGGATGGACTACACGTTTTCACTTCCGTTTCTCGTCCAGAAAGCGTGGCCAGCTTCGTCCTCACTGGCGTCCTTATTCAGCGGATCCTTGATCCAGCCGAAGTCGACGAGGCTCGTGCTACTGGAGATGATCCGTTGCCTACTATATTCACCATCACGAGCGTTTTCTCGGAGCCTGCAGCTGTAGGAATTACGAGTGGCATTTTGGGAGGTTGCGGTAATGAACCTGTTGCTTTAGTAGATGAGGAAGAGAATTGTTCCAAGCCGCTGGTCGCTATCTCTGCTAGCGAGGAGGTCGTCTGGGTCTCTCCTGGTGTCTCTAATCAAATTCGCGAATATTTGGTCACCTTTGATGCAGACAAGGCGGGTCTGTCTATCTGGAGATACGCATACATAAAGCCCAAAGACGCTCCCGTGCCTCTTACTCGGACTAGACACCATAGCACTTCACGAAAGAGCATGTCTGCCCATGCGAACAGGCGACAATCAGGCTCTGTCAGCGACATTCTGGAATTTGAGCGCCGTCTACCTCCGCCCTCTCAGGACATGGAGTTTGATGGCAATTTCCCCCCACCGTTTCCCCCAATGTCAGGACTTCCGCCTTCAACGACATCTGGTATCGCTGCGCAGCCACCAATATCAGGAAGAAAACGTGAATCACTCACTCGCCTGGATCTTAGTTTGACGATGGACAGAATGGCGCTTGGAGGACAGAAAGACGCAGAAGTGTTGATCACCCTTGTTGAACATGGAAGAATGAAGGCGTCTTACTGGGCTCAACAATTGACCACTCATCATTTGGGAGGGAGACAGTAGGAGGTTGTTAACGCCTCACCTAAACACATGCTCATGTTATTGTAGATTGTCGGCCCGGGATATATCTGTTGCATTGTTTGATCAACGCTTTGATGGCACGGCTCATCATTCTCTCCTCGCAGTCTGCCTGCCCGAGGCTCGGGTGATCGTCTTTATGATTACCGTTGACGAAGGCAAGAAATCATTTGCGGTCGAGAGCATCGGCACCTTAGAAGCCGTCGCAATCGCCTCGATACGCGCGACACGTGCTGACATTTGGGATCTCCTTGCGGTGAAGAAGGATGGTTCGCTATCCTTGTTTACCCACGGATTGCACGAACTCCGTATACGACTGAGGCTTGCGCAACCGTGGAACGGCGACAACAACGGCTCATCTGAGGTCATCTCACTTGATCACGTTGTAGCATTGAAGCATGTTTGCGTCTCCTCGGTGTATATGGAGATGAGTGATGGGAAGGTCTATTATGTGCGACTGGACATGACCCCATGCGATCCACTGGTGACCCAGGCCATGCAGGTTCTGGCACTTGTGTTGCCGAAAGCCCAAGCTTTTGACCTACACCGGAACTTTCTCGAATCGTGGTCACAGCGTTACTTCCGAACATCACCTGGGCTCGAATTCCAGCAGTTCACGCTTGCACTTTTCGCACTTCTTGAGCTCAAGCTTGTATATCCTTTCAAAGATGACGAGTCCCAAAGTCCCTCTGTATGGGAAAGATTTTCAGCCTTGTCTACTTCTAATCGTTCTTTCAACGATGATCCTGCTCTCAAGCGCTTGAAGCTTCCTACACCTCCGACAACGCACCATTGCTTTCTTTTCACTCTGAACGTTAACCCTCTCCTCGCGCCCGTGCTCTATGCATTGCACATGTTGGCAGAGGACCTCCGCTTAGTCGTTCTCCGATACGAATCCCTCATGCTCCTCATCCCTTTGATATGTCAAATTGCACACATTGTTCGACCAGAATGGGCAGATTACTGGAAGCGCCTCTGTCCTAACATCATGCCAGGATGGCCAGCCCCATCCACAACACGTCAGTTTATCCTTTTCGTCTGCCAAAATCTTCTCAATCTTCCCACATAGGTGTGGAAATGCTGGACGACCGGATACCAGTCTGGCCACCCGATATGTCGGCGATTCTATACGGAAGCATAAGTAACCCTGACTGGCAATTCCCGTCGTATGGAACTTCGCGACTGGCCCGATCCTTTTCGATTGATCCGTCTTTTGCTTTTGGTGACACCGAACCCCTCATGTCTTTGCAGCGTCTCACGGCGGCCTACATGTGCCTTGCTGATAAGACGGTGTCATCTACGCAGAAGCGGGCGGAACTGACCGTCGAGAAGTTCGTCGGTACGCTTGGGACAGCGGCGAAGGGAACCGCGTTCCTCAATAGTCTCCCGTTGGGTATTGCAGCGCCCCTGAGGGAAGCTGTTAGAACGTGCCAGCTGTCGCCTCCTTCACACTGGCGCACAGAGCATTATGACCTTATCGGTCGGCGTGACTTGGCTTTCAGCGTCGCTGGGACGCAGCCAGAGCTCTCTCAGAAGGGCATTGCTCAGTCTGCTGAGACCTATATGGTAGGGCCCCACAATTCAGGACGCGATGTAGCAGCTGATCTGATTCCAGAACACCCACCGACGAGCCACGATCAATAGTCTGGCTGAGCAGGCAAAGTCTGCGAGTCTCGGAGAAATCGATGCGGTCTCCGGAGTCGAGCTCGATCTCAAGGGTTTCACCAAGATCCGATTTGGTCAAGATCGCAGGTTGGAAGAAGTGGCTCGTATGCTTTGTTCGTCAGCGATTCCATCGGTTCGGCTTGTAGAGCGACCAGAATTGAAGTGAGCAGGACGATCAATAATGGTCGAAGCTTCACTGACGACTCCTGAACAGTGAACATGACCAGGCGAAAGAGCAACAACATCAAGTGGTTCGTATTGCAGAACGAACGCTTGCACTACCCTATGGCCGTGCTATGTTCACCTTTGGTTCTGTGTTGACGGTCACAAAAGAAGCATATGTCACCCCCAAGATGGAGTATGCGGTCAAGGTACAACCGTCAAATATTACTACTGCACCCGAGCTTGGCAAGATACCTATCGAATGCCTCAACTGGGGCGAGTTCCATAATGGTGTTGCAGCAGGACTACGTATCGCTCCGGAAGCTCGCGGTGTGGAGAGTTCGTGGATTGCCTTTAACAAGCCTTCCGAGCTCACACCAGAACATGCCGGCTTCTTGTTTGGTCTTGGGCTTACGGGACACCTCAAGGAAATGCTTACATGGCATACCTTTGGCTATCTAACCCCAAAGCATGACCTGACCTCCATCGGCGTCTTGCTTGGTTTGTCCGCTGCGAACGCTGGGACAGGCAATCGCCATGTGACAAAGTTACTTGCCGTTCACACCCCAGCCTTGCTTCCTACACAGAGCGTTGACCTGAACGTATCCCTCATGACCCAAGCGGCCGGTTTGGCGGGCGTTGGAATTCTATACCTCGGTACCAAAAACAGGCGCATGGCAGAAGTATGTCTTCACCAAATTAGCCGAAAAGACCTCGTGCAACCAGACCTCAGCAATGAACACCGAGAGGCTTATACATATTGTGCTGCCTTAGCCTTCGGCATGATCATGCTAGGTCAAGGTTCCTCCGTACCCGCAGATCTCTCATCGCTCAATCGTCTCCGCGTCCTTGTGCATGGTGAAGGAAAGTCTGTTGTGGATTCCCAAGCACGGTCGACATTCGATGTCAATATCACATCGCCAGCAGCTTCTATCGCACTTGGGCTGATGTATCTCAAGACGGAGCGGCGAGATGTCGCTGACATCCTGGGGATCCCAAGCACGGTCCTAGAACTGAACCGCATACAACCCAGCTTTCTGCTCATGCGGACCATTGGAAGATCCTTGATCATGTGGAATGATATCGCTTCGACGCTTCCGTGGCTACTTGCCCAGGTTCCCGAGCCTATTGTGAAGGCCATGCACGGCCACGGACGAGGAAAACCAGCTGACGATGCAATCGAGCTTGCCTATTATAACATCATTGCGGGTTGTTGTTTTGTTATCGGCTTGAAGTACGCAGGGACAGCTCGTCATGAGGCATATATCATGCTCTCGAATTACTTTGATATGTTCAGCAGATTTGTGGCAACTAGTGGTAAATTTCCCTCGTGAAACTTATAGGACTTGATGCTAAATATCTGATACTTTGCAGGCCCTGCCTTCGATCACAAGATCAAACGCTCTGCTGTTCGTGAAGGCCTGAACCTCATTTCCATTGCGCTTTGTATGGTCATGGCAGGTACAGGAGAAATCACCTGCTTACGACGCCTGAGATATGCATATGGGATGTATCACCAAGCGTTTCGATATGGTGTCCATGTTGCAACTCACCTATCGCTCGGTTTATTATTCCTCGGAGCCGGTCGGTATACCCTCGGAACTTCGAATGCCGCAATAGCTTGCATGGTTGTTGCCTTCTTCCCCCGTTTTCATCACGTATCATCGGACAACAAGAGCTACCTTCAAGCTCTTCGTCACCTCTGGGTTCTTGCAGTCGAACCCAGATGCCTCATGGCACGGGATGTTAACACTCGAGAGGCAGTCTATCTCCCTGTCAAGATCACCACGAAAGAAGGGGCCGAAAAGGGCGCAACGCAGTTGATATCGCCCACGTTAATACCGGATTTCAACAAAATTTTGTCTATTAGAATCGATACGCCTCGCTATTGGCCATTCTTTGTGGACCTTGAACACGTACCGCAGCACAGGAGAAGCCTGTTGAAGCACCAAACATTGTACGTGAAGCGCCGCACGGCTTTCTTAAGCTATACGGAGGACCCCAGGGGAAGTAGAAGTCTTTTCGTTCGTTCTGGTTCTTCCGCCGGAGATGCTGCAACTTTGGACTTCCCACAATTGACGGACACAAAGGCACACCCCGCAAGCGACCTCACTCATTTCATTTCATCCTTCTCCAACGACATCTTATTCCTGGCTTTCGCGGATCACTTTTCACGCGAAGACGGTAAGACGGTCGAAGAGAGAGTCTTCCACAATTACTGCCACGCGGTCCTACTTGATAGCATTCTTCAAGATAAGATGGAAACATTGCAGTCCCATCTAATGCTTTATCAATATCGCACACAATTGCCATCGAGCAGCTTCTTCCATCTTCGGCTCCAAGATCTGCGCTTTGCTGTCGACTTTTACAGCAAAGTCTATGATCGGCGGTTCAGCGGGAGATCCGAGAATAACCTTCGACCTTCTCTGATCCGTGAAAATACTGTCTCTGGAGCATTACAAGCCTTGGATGAGCGCCTCGCGGAAGTCCAAAGTTCTACAGCCCTTAATATGGTCTTTGGCAGATATGCTCGCGGGGAACTTATTGTGGAGTCCGAAGATGCCCCGGAGGTGTCGCGCTGGCTAGCTTGGTACCTCCTGCGTCATGGCGTTCCGTCGGCATCGCTGCTAGCGATCCTCAAACAGCTTGCCCAAGATGCTCATGCGCAATGTGCCACCTCCGGGAACGTTGATTTGAGGACGCTGGATGAGGGTATAAAGGAAGTTCTAAGGGGGACGGGGACGAAAATGAATACAGTGTTTGGGTCAGGGTGGTCGGGTCCATCCTTGGAGAGGGTTATTGATGCATGGCAAGGACATTCGTAGACATGCTGTAGCTGATTTCGTTGGCAATCTTCTTTGTTGTGGTTGCGATTACATGTATATCGCGTTGTAAGACCCCGCTAAGTTTAAGAAGATGTGGCACCACGTGCCATAAGGAATAACTATCTTCCTACTACTTACTTAGTCTGTCTTTAGGATGTCGCTCAGACGCCCGTAGGGGTAGTTGGAAGGATAATGATAATAGTTTGTGAGGCAAACTAGAGGCAAATGTATTTTGGGGTGATTATAATACTGCGGCCGTTAAGACGCATCATAGGAAGCTTGCAACGGTGCACAGGTCCAAGAGCGGCGGGTAGGGGGCTCGGTGGCGCAGGCGTTGTCTAGCAGCAGGCTGCGGTGGGCGAGCGCGAACAACCAACTAACAGTGTCTAAATCCGCTAGACTTGAAGTGACACCTACGTCACACGTGGGGAGACAGGGGGGGACTACTTTTCCTGGCTCCGGGACACCACGCACGTCGTGATCCATATATTGACATGTATGAATCTACGTACGACGGAGTAAATCGCATGAGAAATAAATGTCGAGGAGCTGTTAACGATGATTTGCTGATTAGCACTCACTTTAGTGAGGGCAGACTCCGACTTGGACAAGAGTGGGAAATAATTGAGTTCGACATGTTCAAGTAAAGTTGTCCTGCGGTGCTTAAGGTTGAGACGCGTGTCCGATCAATTGTACACTGACTGTCCATTGTGCGATAGCTGTCGATTCTATCTGTTGACTTAGAGTTTATTAGTGATTCGTGATTCGTGAGCGTACCACAACGCTTTGAGGACTCACAGGAATAGACCAACCAGTGCTATAACAGATGCTATTGATGGTTGCAAAGAGCATAGATATTGTGATGAGGACCATATTGATATTATCGTATCGTGTCAAGTGACAACAGACAAGAAATAAAGCATAAGAATAGGTTTTCCGCATAAGGCTCCATACTATTAACTAAAAGAATACAGCAAGAGGCCGCTTTCCAACGTTCTAATACTGTGAACGATGGAAGCATGACAGACTATGATACAACACACACATGGGAATCATGTACATGCAACGAAGCATCAAGGAATTACAACATGAACCCGGCTTTACGGTGATGGAGGGGTCTCACGTTGGAAGCCAGCTGGCCGTTGCAGGCCTTGCTCGATGAGGAAACTGCGACGTGCCTTGACGGCTGCGTTGAGTTTGTCCAACATTCCAACAGTGCATTCCCAATCCACGCATGCGTCGGTAATGGAAACGCCGTGCTTCAGGCCAGCAGGTCCCTCGGCAGGAACATCTTGGCGTCCGGCATTGATGTGCGACTCAATCATGACACCAGTGACGTTCTTATCACCCGCAGCGAGCTGGGAGCAGATATCATCGACCACTTTTGGCTGATTGTTGTGGTTCTTCTGCGAATTGCCATCTGAAGAAGCCAAATGAGTTCCCTCGCTGACAATGGCTAAAAATTCGTGCTTACGGCTGCAGTCGATCATAACGCTAGCATGATTCGACGGGCGTGCCTTTTCAATGGATTTAGCAGCTGCCCGAACATGCTCGGATGCGAAATTGGGACCCTTGGTGCCACCACGGAGGATGACATGTACATCCTGGTTTCCACGGGTTTTTACGATAGCGGCGAGACCTTGCTCTGTCACACCCATGAAGGCGTGGGGGTTTGAAGCAGAGCGCATCGCGTCGATAGCGACCGAGACGCTATGCCAAGATAAGAATATGTTCCTCAATGAAAACATATGAAGTAAAGCCGTACCTGCCATCAGTGCCGTTCTTGAACCCTATAGGGAAAGATACGCCGGAAGCGAGCTCGCGGTGCAATTGAGATTCGGTTGTTCGGGCTCCAATCGCTCCCCAGGAAATAACTGCGTGTGAGAGATCACGAGGCGGTGTCAGAAAACAATTGGAAAACGATAAGGTATGACGTACGGTCAGCAATGTACTGTGGGGATATGGTATCGAGTAGCTCGGAACCAACGGGTACACCGAGTTCTGTAAGGTCGCAGAGGAGCTGCCTGGCAACTCGGAGACCCTTGTTAATCTTGAAGGAACCATCGATATCCTGCAAAACGATGTAAGTAAAAATAGAAGCAAAAACAAAAGAATGAACTGACGGGGTCGTTGATGAGACCTTTCCATCCGACAGTAGTTCTAGGTTTCTATTAATAGGATATGTGAGTACATGTCAGGGACGGCTGTTCGGCTGGCGAACCTCACTAGAGCGGTTAACGTTAGTAAAATGCGTAAGAAAGGGATGGGAACACGCACAAATACGCGCGCATCACAATGAGCAAATTGTCCCATGAGGGCATTTTTGATTTGAGCAGATTGGCATACTCGATCGCCTGATCTGCTGAATGAATGGAACAAGGGCCAACAATGACGAGGACACGATCATCTTGACCCGCTAGAATGCGAGCAGAGCTGTAACGGGAAGCTGCGATTGTGATCTGTGAGGCCACTGAAGGCTGAATTTCATGCCTGAGTAAAGCAGGCTGGACGAGGGGGTCATACTATGGATTTTGATGAGTGACGATTTGAATGTCAGATCAGTAAGACACATACACCGATGACACGTCTATCCTGGATGTATTGCTGGAGCTTCTGCTCATCATCGACATCGGGAATGGGAGTGACGTTGTAAGGCATTGTAAAGTTAAAAGAGAGGACAAGGAATTAGTTTTTACAGGGAAGGGAGGGGGTTATAATGATCAAGGAAGGTGAGTGGGTTTTTATAGCATGTACCAGGCCGAGTAATTTTCCGATTTGTTGTAGAGAGAGACACAGCAAGCGTTGACAAGTCATTCATAATTGGAAATTGAGTAAATGAACCGTCCAAATATGGTAAGTACAGGTCTATTTACCATATATAGAAGCGAACAGCCAGCCGTAAGGCTAGTCGTTGCCTAGCTATTCCCACCCACACTGTATTCCTCGCTAATGTCCTCAATCAGTCTACCGCTCGATCCAGTGCCCGGTTTCTGCGTAAAATCAAAGGTGCTTAGCCAAGCCGTTGTCCCTAGAACCGCCACTGGTTCTCTTCCACAACCTACTAGTACTAGCCTCTCCGACACACTAGGAGCCCTGATCACCATCCCAAAGGGCCTTAAAGTTTTCGTTAACATAGCATGGGACGCCAACGTGCCTCCACCTCCACCTGGAAGCGAAGATGTCATACAAAAAGCGATGCGTGGTGAAGACTATCCCGAATTAAACCCCGGCGGATGGTTCGTGCCAGTCGTAGTCTCAGATCTGCGTGATGACAAAGACAAAGGTCGGTAACGCCCTCTACCCGCCTCCGGTATCGGTGTCGGTCAAATGGCATTCATGAACTGACATTTCCGGTCTTCCCATGTGATGCACGCTTGGCTGGTCACTGCGGCAATCACGGTATTCAGCCGGTCAATTAGCCCTTGTCATTGATTGTGTTTTCAACACGACCATCAAGTCTCGCACGTTGAAAGATGCAGACTTCAAAGCGTTCATCATAGGTACGTTAATACTGATAAGGCTGCTTCCGGTTTGTTGTCTCACCCTGCTTGATGTAGAACTAGCGCTGCAGCGCGTCGAATCGCAGACTTCCCTCTCACTCTCCCGACAGATCGGCACGCCCAACATCGCCTCGAAAGGCAAACTTGCAACGCGGCAAGTACTCGTGCCTGAACTACTCTTTCCGCCCGGTCACCCCCACCACAAATCCGAGACAAAAACTAATCTCATTCAAGAAATAGCTTCCCTGCCAGGTGCCGCGTCAGCGCCAAGAACTAAAGGGATACTTAAAAGTACATCGAATAGCCACACTCCCATGTGGACATGGTCAAAGAACCAGTGTAAAATCCGCATCATGATCGATGTGCCCAATGTGGTAAGTCATCTCCCCGGTATTCCTTTGTGTTTGTCTGTGTTTCCACGGAGACATACTATCGCTAGCATCTTAGTTCCCGTTTTGATAGCATTCGTCGGTTATATAGACTCACTCCGACATTCCCAACTCAACACTCGACGTAGAGCCACGAAGAGTGATACTACACGTTCCGTCATTATACGACCTAGATATCAACCTCGATGCGGCACCAGGCCCGGACGCTATGTCCCGGCATGAACTTCTTGGTGAAGGGGCGTTAGAGCTCAAAAGTCTGAGAGATCTCGATGTAGACGGCGCCAAGGCGGTGTGGAAAGTTGCTGAAAAGGTTATAGTGCTTCTGGCTTAGTAGCCTGGCTCAGTCTGGCTCCTGCTGACTCGCTGGCTGTGCGAGTAACCTTGACGAAACGAAAATCATGTGTAATCCACCAAATTGAAAACATATCTCGCTGTTTGTAAGTAAATAATGCAAATTGTGAGTAAATTATCATGCTTAATATACAGAGAAGTGCTCAGGAGATGTTTCATAAGTATGCACCAGCATGCTACAGCGAGTTCTTTCGTTCATTCACTGACTATAAATAACTTCTGGCGTAGGTTACAGCGGCAATATATCCTGCTCGGGTCGCGACTGGACACGAGCAGCGTATCTTTGCTCTCGACACAAAGATTGGCAAGGTCGCGAACTGTGGCCCTGCTGCGTGGACACACGTTGTACAGCTGGTGTCAACCTTACAGTCCATTGGGTCCCTGCTATGTGCGTATCACGCACGTTGCTTCGGTTGGGGGAAGCGACAATACCACCCATTATGATCATTATTTCATTCCCCCCTCGAAAAGGCGCGCCGGAGATCTATGCCCTCATGACATGCAGGAACCGTCTGCAGACATGTCGAGATTCGCGATGGTCGCTTACCTGCTTTCCTTGTCTCCTATGTGTCCAGGGGTGAAATTCAGCGTCAACTCCTTGCATAAGTAGAGATGTAGTCCAGGTACTATCTCAAATGGCTTAGTATCCAATGGCATTCTAGCGGCCTATCAGCGACGGTGAGAAGAGAATCAGTGTTGTTAGGGCCTTTGAGTGCATTGTACGGGGAAGCCCCATTGAAGATTCGTTATTGTATGCCGACTATTAAGAACCCTGATACATGAAGGTTACAGTTATGAATGAACGATTTGTCGATACACAGTATTCTGTACCAAGGTACAGACAAGGTGGTGTGGGAACGGGGATCAGCGCGAATGTCAATATCTACACTTAATTTCGGCCTGACCGAGGAGAAGATAAAGTTCCGACATGGAGTCATTCAGGAATCGTAATGCAAATTGCCAAGCTCCCGCGCAACGTCCTGGGGGCCTATCGAGTGGAGACAAAGATCAACTGGGGAGTGACAGGAGAACTAAAATAAGCATACGCTGACTGGCGTCTTTGGCGAGGGCCATCCCTTCCAATTGGACCATTCTCGACCTCGTGTCCAAGACTGATGATTGCTTGGTGGCGCTTTATTGCAAGTGGCTGTAAAGGGATGTTACTCGTTTAGACAATATAATGATGAGTTCTTGGCGCTGAAGGACAAACTATGAGCTCTGCTTGCTTCTCAGCCATCGCAGCCATGATTTTCCGCTTCCTATCTTCTAAAATCGCGTATTTCTCGAGGAAGTCCTGGTGAACGGTCTCGCTTCAATTGTGCATCAGCGTCAAACAGACAGGTATATGCAGCTGGAAATGATCTCCTACATATCGTTTATGATGTTAGCGATTTCGGCTTCCTTGTTCTGGAGCTGGTTGAAAGATGAAGATGAGAGACCATAAAAATGAGGATCAGGGATACGCACAGCGAGGTTCAGTTCCTTCTGCGTTGTTTGTATGATTCTATCGTCGCGTCCCCTCAACTTTTTCTCCCATGTAGCTGGTAGGCGCATATAGTCAGCTCCAGTCATCGGGGTCACGTAGCCTGTAGGGCGCACCTTTGAATTCCGCCGCGACGGCAGTAAACGCTCTTGAATATGTTGTTGTCAACAGGATAACATTAGATGTCGCGAAAATTACTCGTTGGCGTGGTCGTCGCTGCTGCCGCCTTGAGTGGGCATGAAGTCTATGTCACCTTCATCTCCTGATACCGGTTGAGAGGGAGGTCTAGCCGATGGTACGCGTCTTGTGGGCATCTTCAAGTTGGACGATATCGAGAGTATCGAGGAGAGAGACAAGAGAAGTTATCTGGTCCAGATTAGTCGGTCAACGCGCTGGTGGCAGGAAAACGCGGTCATGTGAGCACATGACCGGGCACATATCATATGACCGGAAGTTGACCCCTATTCCGCTCGGCCAAAATTTAATGTGTCACATCCTTACTCGTTTCGAAGAGGGCATGTGTGGTGGTCTCTGCACTTTGAAGACTCTGGATTTGCTGGATAATAAGGTTAGTTAACTATCTTTCTGTTGTTGTGGCGGTGGCACAGCGGCATGACCCGACGAATCGTGCCTCGAGACAAATATTGGTAGCCTGGGGAGTTGATCCCAACAAAAGCATGCATGTGCCACATCTCCACGAGGTCGATGACCAATGGCAAATGCGCGTAATGGAAGCAAGCAAATTCAAAGGTCATCTACTCTATATCCTCAAGTATCCAGCCAGTGAATCATCGATACCTCCACGAGGACGTGGCGGATTATGATTATTCCAGCGTGTGGGTTCTTGAACACGACTGACGAGTCGATAGAAGCACAAGTACTATTGGTGGGAGTTAGCACCGTGGAATGGAACGCGCATTGGCAATATGTACTGGCGACGGCACGGTGTCATGGAATCCGCGCATTCGATATTATGCTTATAGATAGACTGCTGTCCGGATCTTGAACAGACTGGTGAATTCATGAACAATGGTTATTGTACTACTAATGCCAGTACTAGTGTAGAAGGTCACCCAACAGCCCTATCATCGGATACAAACCGTAGCTCGCACTCCGATCCCTCAGTCTGCCTGCATCATGTGCCATCTTGGTACGATGATAATGCTTCTTGGGGGCATCAACGGTTCAACCGAAAGGCTTCCCAGTATCTCCCTTGGCACGACACTGGAGAGCATAGCTTTGAACCACGGCCTCCAAGCCAAGACATCCCTGCCCTCTTCAAAATTGCGGCTGGGCTCGACAACGTGTGGGAAAAGGGCAACATAACATTGATCTCTCAAGTCGCCTATGCTTTCGGACCTGTGCCTAGATGAAATGCGGCATACCGCGAGATGCACGCGTGTGGGGGTGGGGGTTTTCATGGGAAGATGTAATACTCGCAGGATACGTAGGCGCACGTCACACGAAGGAATCGGAGCGGAGGCTGACGCAGAGGAGAGCTTCTGTTTGAGCTGTAGGCACCAAAGGGTGTAGTCGGTCTTTGTGCCTGAGATAAGGTGATGCGCGCGCCCTGCCAGCCCGCCACTGTCATAGCATTGCGGTTCAGTATCAGTCGCCCAATAATCTTGCGACACGCTCGCGTACCGTATAAATTTCCCGTTAGTGTTCTTGTTTTTGCGAGGGCTGAGTCCAATGCCGCGCTGTATCTCGCGTTCGAATGGGGAGACGAAGTTGTGTCCGTGCTGTTGGAGGAAAAGCGAGAGTAGCTCTGCACCTGCACCATCCTTTGTGGGATTTGTGGCAAAAGACGAGATGGGCTTCATGTTCGTTAATGATTTCTTTGAGGGAAGCGGAGCAAAGCTAGGTGGAGCAAGAGGTTTTAGGATGACCGCTTTAGTAGTCGGCTGAGGCAATGCCAGTAGAGGTGGCTTGAGGATCGAGAAAGATAAGGGCTTGGTGGAGGATGATGCATTTTCTGGGGCGCTGATTGTGAAGGAAGGTGGCTTGAGAGGTCGAAGAGGTGCGGAATGTGGTTTCTGGCGGGATATCGGAGGATTGTGCGCAGATGCTTTCGAAGAGGCAAGGGTGGGGCGCTTCACGATTGACAAGCGAGACGTATCTGCCTTTGCATCATTTGCAGTGGTAAATGGATTCGGTCGCTTGCGATTACCAGCTGGGTGAACCGAAGACTCCTTCTCTTTCTCCTTGCCCTTAGCCCCGCATCCAAGTGAGGTGTCACCAAAGTCAGGGAGCTCGGCAGTGAACGGGTTCAGTGGTCGCTCTCGAACACGGACTGAATTCTTCGTCTTTTCCTGCTTGTCATCAGGAACCTTTGTTGATGGTCCGGCCTTGGGTGCATCAAAAGCGGACACGAAGCGTGGAGGAGGCTTGTAGGCGGGTTTCGATTTGGTCTTTGTTACCTGGAAGCCGTCAGGTCCTTGCAGGCGAGGTCTTTTGGCTGGCTGACTGCTGGATTGCTGCTGGACGTGGTTGGTCTTTGGAATGAAAAACTGCGTCTGCCACTGACCTCCATGTTTGCTTCAGGCTGGTAATATGACGGCAGTGATTGTATCCCTTCGAGTTTCTATCCAGCAGTTTCTATCTAGAGAGATACTGACGAGCTATAGCAGAATGATAGGAGCCACATGCGATCGTTGATTCTTCAATGACTGGTCACGTGAGCTTGTCCACAATTATAGCCAATCTCGTTCTCTTATTTCTCCCAAAACAGCTACCTTGTGACAATGTGATCACGATGTCTAGACACCATATGGCTGACCTTCGTTTCTTCGCTCTTGACCGCCATGGTTCTTTCAAGCGAGGATAAGAGAGAAATTGGACAGGTGCGCTGAAAGCCATTCTTAGACAGTGGTCTAATTCTTGAGGACTACAGCACTTCGTTTTTGGATTTCATGGGCACGAAATCAGCGAGGATGCAAAAGAACTCATCGAGAAGTATCATGTCGGGTAGGCAAAGCTAATATGTATGTGCTCTATGCAACGGCAAGCTCACGGGCCATTGTAATCAGGAACATCATCCTCATGAAACGGAACGTGCAAAGTGAGACGGAATGTTTATTCAAATATTGACACTATGTGAATGATGATTGCCCAGGTGTGAAGCAGGTACATGCGCTTGTTCAATCTTTACAGCAGTGCGCAAGAGATGCCGGACACAGGTATCCACTGATGATTGGTATTGACCAAGAGAATGGTACGCATCTTAGTGTCCATTTCCATCTCAGGCTGATACTGTAATCACACAGGCCTCGTATCCGCGTTCAGCTCAACTGAAAAACATCAAGCTGGGACACAGTTGTAGGTTGTGTCCCGTCGATCGTCTTCTTGTCTCATCACTTTTCCAGCCCAGGAGCCATGGCGATCGCTGCTATCAGCGATGTCAATTATGCCCGGGATTGCTCTGCGGCTTCAGCTCGCGAGATGAAAGCTGTTGGCATCAATTGGACCTATTCTCCGGTAGGAGATGTGAATTCTGACCCACAGAACCCGGTTATTGGTGAGCATTGAGTATTTCGCTTCTCGACGTTGTCTTGACCTGTGCTCAGGTGTACGCTCTTTTGGAGATGGTGAGACCCACGCGCTCTTATTCGTCCAGAAAGTACTAAGTATTGATGATCAGACCCCATAAAAGTTGCACAATATGCGAAGGCGGTTGGCGAAGGCCTCGCACAAGGTGGCCTCGCACCGTCTGCGAAACACTTCCCAGGGCACGGTGATACAAATATTGACTCGCATCTTGGTCTTCCCGTCATCAACAAAAGTCGTGCCGAGCTGGATCAAACCGAGTTGAAACCTTTCAAAGAACTAATTGACGCTGGTGTCGCCAGCATCATGACGGGGCATATGGCTATCCAGGCCCTGACTGGTGACAGTGAGACTCCAGCATCTCTTTCACGAGCTGTGACTACGGCCCTTCTGCGAGAGGAATTGAAGTATGAAGGAGTGGTCGTGACCGATTGCCTTGAAATGAATGCGGTGATGGAGAGAAAAGGCGGCGTACCACGTGGCGCTGTGGAAGCACTAGTGGCTGGTGCAGATGTGATCATGGTTTGCCATACTATGGCGTTCCATAGGGGCGCGATAGAGGCCACCTATGAGGCAGTACAGAAGGGCGAGCTGCATATGGATGAGCTGAGGAAAAGCGGAAAAAGGGTTGCTGCGCTGAAACGGAGATTCGTGGGGACATGGGATGACGTGCTCGGAAAACCATTTGACGAGGAGGCGATGAATGCATTGCAGGCGACGAACAAGAAACTGAGCGAGGACGCATACGCAAAGTCGACCGCACTTATTTCCGGATCTCTTCCTGCGTTTTCTTCGGGCAAGATTGTGGTGATGACACCCGTCGTGGAGAGCCTCAACGCGGCAGTGGATGATGCGGAAGGTGTGCAACGTACCGAGAAAGGTCACGTCCGGAACACCGCAGCGCCATACTACATGTCTTTTGCAGAGTCCGTGCGACGCCGCGCTGCCGATGTCGAACACCTGGTGTACGCGGCTGATTTTGACTGCAGAAGAGAATTTGGCCAGGGGGTCATATTCGTCACACGCAACGCGGATCGTAGTGCTTGGCAACTAGATGTCTTGGAGAAAGTCAGGACACAGACCAGTGACCCTGTTGTGGTCCTGGCGAGCTGCGCACCGTATGAATTGTTCTCCAGGAGGGTCTTAGGTGTGCAGGCATGCGTGGCGAGCTTCGAGTTCACCAGCGAAGCGTTGGAAGCTGCTGCCAGAGTTATTTTTAATGAGGTTTTTCCGGCGGGGAAGTCACCTGTTAGCGTCCGAGGACAATAAGCTGGAAAAATATCTACCGTACTTGTATTTGGATCTTGCCGAACCTCTTCGTCGGTCTGGTAATTATCAGGCTCATACACACGTACCTGGTGACTACAGCTGGAGCCTGGAGGGGTTCGAGGAGACTGGGGGATTGAACGGTGATAGGCGGATCGATGAGGATATCGATGACATTGCGTTGCCCCCATCCTCGATGGCTACTGTGCCCAAGCTGTCTCCGTCGTAAGTGACGTGCCGTTTGAGCGCCTCCGAGTCGCGGCTTATTATTCTCGGACCAATCCACTGCATTGGACTCATGAAGCGAAGCCATGAGACCCGCATCCAACCGAGCGACACCAAGCTAGCCATGACCTTAGCATCCGCTGCAGTTAGCTGTCCCCGAAGGTTGAGCTCTGTCAGCTGGAGAGTAGATGGTCACTAGGGGAGAGGGATGGCAGCGGTTTCGACCATACGAAAGCTTTCGTCAGGGGGCTACCGCTACCCCAACCACTCGCCCTTCTGGTAGTGTGCAGGAGCTACCATTTCTGAGCCTATATACAAATGGGAGTACTGTAGAGATACGCACCTAGGTTCGACCCTATCTGGATGTGACCAAATGTACCTTAGGTTCGAAAGTTCGAAGGAGGCTGTGACGTGTGACACCTTGTAAATAGGTTCGATCGCGCAGTCAGGCAAGGGCATTCGGATGAGGTTAGGCTAGACTCGAGATCATGATGCTCGCGCAGCAGAGTTGCGCTCCCCCTGCTTTCTCTTTAATTTACTTCTGCCAGCAATCCGAAGCTGCACCCGCCATTATCTAATATCCGAGTCTGACTACAACATCAATGATACAACTTTGCACAAGCTCGTCAATATTAATGTTTTGGTTTCCATGGCTAGTATTAGAATTTAGGACTAATTGCTAACTCTAATGTTGCTATAGAATCTGCTGGCGCACAACGAAAATTTAAGTTGGAGGGTTCAATAAGCAAGCGCTAGATGGTATAATCAAGCTTCAAGTTATAGCTGTGACCGCTAATGAATTCAAAGAGGTAGAGTGGAGCTTGAGAGCGTTTTGGCAAAGCATAGAAGGATTTTTGGCTTTTTCTTTTTTACTGCGTAATCACACTTTAAGTTCGTTGGCCTCAAGCTTGGTGTGACGGTGTGGACGAACTTAGGTGCGTATCTCTACAGTAACTAACGATCCGCCTCGAGGGTATGACTCAATGCATTCAGCCAGCTGATCAGGGTATCTATGACCATATTTGACGCTCATCAATGATCAGATTGAATGCCGGATGTCTTATTTCGAAGAATTCTCGACAGAATGAACATCAAGGGAACCTTGAGGGAATTCGCCGCTAACCCTGTGTCGTGGCACTTGAATTCCAACCTTCCTAGCCACACGGCATCCGAGAAGCACAGGACCGTCGTGGTCCGGTTCTTGGGGGTGTTTTGTCGAACCCAGAACCGAACCTTGGACCGGACCCCCGCGAACGCGTTCACAACTTGAAGGGTTCGATTCGAGTTCAGAACCGGTTCGAACTCTCGGACCGTTGGCAAAAATCTCGTGAAGTTTTTGGGGTCTGAATGCAAAGATAAGGTACCCCGAATCGTTCCGTGAGGTGTAACAAAGAATTCGTGCCATAATATGCACAGTTGCTCTGGTGGTCACGCAGGCCTGCCCGTCGTCTGACCACGAAGGTGGGACTAGGTACTGGATGGTACGCTCAGTTGCCCTGGGTGGGCCGGAGCGGAGTGGCAAGAAGGAAGGTAAACTGATCGAGGAGAGTGCGTCGAGGTTGATTGGAATATATGATACTTACTTCCACGACACGAGTAGCGAGAGGATCGGCATTGGGATGGGCGGCTAGCTCTTGGACAGGCAGCACTGCCTCTTCCTGGTTATTTTCATTGAACAATGCGATGGCCTGAAAGTCGTAATGAAGCATGAGCATGGAGTATGGATCAACAATTTACGTACCTTTATCAAGAACAGGAAATGAGTCGTCTTTGGGTCTGCGTGCGTGAACGCGAACGCGACCGTGACGTCAAATGGGACTTGAAGACGGATACTTACAAGTCACCATCTGGAGTTGCATCACCGATAGGCGTTGAATAGGTTCAGCGAGAAAGGACTGATCGGAGCTGGCGAATTGGTTTCCGAGCTGGGGTAGATCGTGTCATCGTGGCATGCCACCCTTCTGGGACGATTCTAGTAAGTAGCGAAGGTATTCTAATAGGGGGTTGGGATGATGCAGCTGGCCGAGGCAAGATGTGATTGAACATTTGGGATTTCTCGTAATAGATAGCGATCTAAGTGCTGGCATACACCCGGCCGTCCGCGGATGAACATTGCTTCTCCTGTTGGGTGTCTCGTCTCCCTCACCTCTTCACATCACGTTTAGCAGTCATTCTGCACAGTTGCTTTACCCGGACAAGACTTATACCCATTCCAAAGCAAACCGTTCTCCTGATGCCATCACTAGCGTGTCAAAAGAGAACAACGAGGGGAACAATATCCAGAAAGCACTTACAGTGTAATAATTGCAGTATGTTGCCGAGCCGTCACTATTCCGGCCATCGTAACTGCCGGCCTATCAGTCAATTTATTCAATGAAGATGTGTGGGTGCGACGCACGTGCAAAATGTGTACTCGAGTTCTCGCCAGATATCGTTCGTCAATAGTTCCTTGGCACTGCCGCCAACATTCAATGTGGCTGGGCACTGCACACACGCATTGGCGCCAGCGAGGAGGCCGAGCAGCGCAAACATGATGGAGCGGGAAGAAAACATCATGCAGTTTGTGAAAGGGAATGAGGCAAAGCCACAGTAGCAGGCAGGTGTTTTATAGGCTGAAACTTCCAGTGATTCGCAACTGTCAAGCATCAGCCGAACCCCGAACCTCTGGAGAAGTTCGGTTCTGAGTTTTGGCAGAACCTGGAACTGGACTGCGGCAGCACTAACAGGACGTGGAGTGTGAATCGGAATACCCAAATAGAAATGTTTCAAAGAAGCTAGATATAAGTAAGGAGATCCAGTGAGCGAGCGACAGCGTAACCACATACCAACTATGTCCCAACACCCAATTTCAGTCACTTCAACAAATTTCACCTTGAATGTGTCTGACGTTGCAGGGTTCTTCGGTGGAGACGAAGCCGTCGAAGCTCCGACGACTATTTACTTATACAAGGCTAGAAGGTGGTCCGGGTGATACAACGCTCCAGACAGTTTCGCCGTTGCCAAGTGTTTAGGCCCCATTGCAAACTCTCGTTTCTGGAACGTGCTCTCCCCCGGGCCCAATGAAGAGCCAGAAAAAGTTTTCGGGCTAGATAACCAGTTGGGTCCCAAATACATTGCTTCCCAGTCCGGCACCGTACCTACCTCAGCAAGTTTAACTGCCTGAGCATTGAGTGCGTATAACCGCGACTGGTACTGCCTCGCGATGATTCTTCTGGGCATCATTTCCAATGGCTTGACATGTCTTGTTGTTGGCTCGGCATCTATTGTCCTGAAGGGAGTCAAGCCCCCAATTGGCGCCCCTTGCGGAGATAGGATGCCGGTAGATGACAGTTCAAGCCACATTGTCATCGTGAAGGGAGCGGAAAAAGATGTAAATGGGATACGAAAGGCAGGTTCTGCCTAGAATACCTCCCGAGAGTGTGGATGAAGAAGAAAGGCCCAAGCGATACCTTGGGTGAGTTCTTTGATACACCTCTATGTGCAACATCGGATCCAGATAATTCACCGGAAAAGGAGGGCGCCAAAGAGGATGAAGAAACACCTGAGCTCAAAGAGTACAGGGGCTTGCTTGCGGCTTCCTGCTTGGCATGCAATCATTGCTGCAATTGCTTCTAATCCCCAAAGGAATGCTGCCCGGCTAGATTATGTTTCTCTCGTCGTTCGTAATCTCCTGGATCTATCATCAGAGAACCGGTGAGTCGCAGGTATTGTCATATATAATTTCGCATTTCATCACAGTGAAATATAAAGCAATATATGATCATATAAAACCACCGCAGTCTACATAATCGCTAGCAAGAACTCACCGGTTCACTGATGATAACCTGTACTTGTCATCCCTTGACAAGGAAAAGATCCAACAGAAGCTGCTCAAGAACAACGACTGCAGTCTTCGCTACGCTTCTCTTGCAACCACGTCCTGCCTCCATGTCGTTCGAGGCAGTCAAACTCCTGAAGTGTTTTCAGCAGAATGAAACTGGTGTGGAATAAGTGGAGAGCATGTAGGAAAGTATATTGAAACCATCAACTGGACGGATAGGGAGGATGTGAACACGAAACTGGAGTCGCTGAAAACGTGTGATGACGTAGCAGGGCTCAGCGATGATGAACAACGTAGGCTACTCGTAGAACTCCTGAGTAACGCGAGGGAGGCCTTCCAGGGGTACAACAAATACTACTCGAGTGTTGGCGGAGCGGAGAACACTCATTAGACTCCCCGTCTCAGCGTCATACCTAGCTCCAGCTGCAGGGTTTTCAGTAGGATGGGAACCAAACGGGATCTTCCTCGACAACACGCAGCCGGGTATGCGCAACTGTCTAACATTGATTAGGGCGGGATGATCCGAGAGCTTGGTTTGCATACGATTGTACTTGGTAGGGACTTCACTAGTTCTTGGACATCCGTGCACGTGTGTCGATATTCGTTGCATGTAGTTGTAGTTGCAGTTTTATTTTTCAACCATACTCTAGACCGCATGTTCGGTTCAGCCACTTAGCTGAACACTGAACCGGACGTCCGATCAAACGCGTGATCAGTTCACCAAATGATTGTATTAGCCTACCTGACTGTGTGTTATTAAATGGCCGGCTGTACCGTATGTGTCCTGCTGTTTCCCTTGAGCGGAATTATGTGGCGGTATTCTTATACGAGAGTAATTCCATACATACTTGAGGGCCTGTGTATATTGTTACGAGAAGGAAAAGAAGGAAAAATTACTTCAATGCACCTGCACAAGGCAAGGGCAAGCGGGGGTGCGGGAAGCCGTTGGGAGAGGCTTCGGTCTCGCGAGAGGGTGAGACAGGGTGCAAGAATGGCTTGAGTGTGCAGGAGGTCTTCGGAAGGCGCGAGAGGTCAGCACATACTATGAGGCTATAGCTATAGGGAAGCAGGGTGCAGGAAACCAGCAGAAGTATGGCAGATGGCATCGAGAAGGTCCAGCCCGGAGATGCGTCTGGAGACATAGTGTGGGCAACGGACCATCATTCGATGATTGGAAGAGTATAGTTCCATCGTCCATCAGCAAAACTGCCCAAATCTGGCAAGGGTCGGCAAGGTCCGGAGCATCTCCCAGGGCCACGTGATGCCTTCCCAGGCGTGAATCCATTCGTTCGACATCATGCAAGATGTGCATGCTCATCTCGCAAGGCCTTGCTAGACTTTTTCAACCTCGCGGTAGCCTTGCGGGGCCTCACAAGACTGGCGCTATATTATGTGGCGTTACGAGGGAAAATTGTATATGTCCAGGCAACGGTGTGTTCTTTCGATATTTTGACATCTATTTTTGATCTGCCTTCCGATGCAACGCAACACGGACTGACTTTCCATTGAGTACTACTAGGGCATATTACAAGTCTGCAAAGCTATCCTCATCCAACACATTCATTACATCCTCCCCATCTTCCGGACCCAGGTCATCTGCATCATTATTGGTGTCTTCACCTACATCATCCTCCTCAAGGACTTGATCAAGGCCGGAGTACCCGAATTCGTCCATCTCGTCTGCAACAGTGTCGTCGACAATTGCTTCAAATGGGATCGAAGCCGGATCATCATCCTCGTCATCAGTGTCATCTGACTCCCCCTCACTATCATCTGCCTCCTCTGAACTGCCATCATTGCCTTGCTCGTCTCCATCTTCATCGTCTTCCATATCATCGTCTTCTTCAAAGGCCTCGTCAAACTCGGATAGATGGCGCTCTTTCTCCCATTGAAATGGAACATTATCCAGGTCATCCCGATCGTCGAGCAAGCAGGACGTCTCTCTCCGTGTGGTTTTGTGCCTGACACCTCCTCCGCGGAAGCACATGAACATATCTCGGTCAATGAACCTGGTAATTTTTTTTTAGCTTTAATTCGTGTTGTTAGCGGGAAATAACTGACATGTTCACGCAGTACCAGTCCCAATCCTCGTCCTTGTCAGCTACTTGATGAGCAATGGACAGTCCCAACAGAGCAGTTGTACGTTGATATCGAAAGGCTGGGATAAGTTGAACACCACAAATGATGAGGTTAGGGTCAAGGAACTCAAACGCGGATTCATCATTTCCGTCATAAAACCCAACCCGTGGCAGTCGTTTTGCAGCCCAACCTGTTGGTGCAGTGATGTCATGGGTGAACCAGCAGACCCACAAAAAGTTGATGCACTTTATAGAGGGACGTGCACCTGGTCTCATGTAGCGGATATTGGCATGAAAAATGCCAATAACCTGCGCATACCAGTATGGATGGGATTCTTCCTGGTCACGAGCAAGAACCATGATGTCTGCGTGTGTTCGGGGGTTAAGGGAGTCCTGAGCATGCCGCAAGTCATAGGTAGTGTAGTTGATGCGAAGTACTTTGTGACGATAAATCCGGTTGTTGATAATTACAACAGAGTTCTGTTCCGCAGCAGTAAATGCAGTTTCATCTCCATCGTAGGCGAGCCCTGACAGGCGGCCCAGAAGGTGGTCTTTCAGATGCGGAAGAAATTTCTAATTACATCCAGTGAGCAGATACATTTAACATGATATGAGTATTGGAGACCTACCCTCGTAGCCTGGTCATTTCTGTTCTTTCCAAGCCAGGAAGAAACATCCCAGTAGTGTTTCTGTGATGAGGACATTTGATAATGGACCTCTGGTGAGCAATGCAGCAGCGGGTCCTGATCAACAAAATGAAGAGAAGGGCAGAGATCTTCTCTCTCAACAGGAGGTTGTATGTGACTATCTCTCGCAGCTGCTCTTTCACGGTTTACCTCTCTCATCCTCTGCAAGATGCGCTCACGACGCTGAAGTCTTGCAATTCCATGGGCAAACTTATTCTTGTTGGTTCGTGCATAAAAATGTTTCACTCGTCGATGTTCAAGTTTGCCCTAACACAACATTAGTGGGTCACTGGTTGTTCATGGATTCTGATGCTTACCACTTGTGTAGAGTAGTTGCCTGTGGTTCCATACAGCCAGATTGACTTGACATAGTCTCCAAGAGCATGAAGTTTGTAAGTCGAGATGTTGAAAACTCGATGCTTGGAGGTCCTGTCACCTTCAGCTTCAGTGTTCGTTCTTTCTGATCTTTTGTTCTTGCCTTGAGATGCTCTAAGACGTTGATGCCGTGCACGAGCAGCTGTTTCATGTGGTAGATCACGAGCAACAAACTTTTTGCATGTGTCGTCACGGAATTGTCAGAGAACCTTTCCCAGCCATGTCGTACAGTTGTCAAAATGATGCAGTGTTGTCTCCGTGTGCATACGAAGCTTTCCGAATGCATGCCAGCTGGCCAGCTCAAAAAGGAGGTCGAGGACTGTGCTATTGAATGGTTCCGGAAGAAGACCATCAAACATGGGCATTGTACACTGCCAGTACTAATCAGTGTGAAGTCGGCAAATGTATTAACCTATCCCTACCTGAAGCAGGTCTTCAAAATCACACGCAGCGAGTTTTGTAAGACCAGACACATTGTCACTAAACTTGCGGATGGTGTCACGTCCAAATGTTGCTACAAGGCAATACCTAAATTATGTCAGACACATGAATGTTTGAGAAAATACAACTTACTGCTCGTTGAGATCTTGCACAGCATTACCTCCATATGCATACAAAATTTGGAGCAGATGAGTAAGGGTTGCCTTCCACACCCCCAACTCAAACTCGTGCATAAAGTTGGGAACGAGCATTGAGTGGAAATTGAACCCGAACTTGGAAAGCTTATCCGAAAAGGTGTTCTAATACTATGTGGTTAGTTATAATTCAAATATGCAATGCACATGATACCTACATAAATGGGAGCAACAGAGGTGGCACCAATGATTTTCTCGATCACTGAGCTGACTATGCTATAGCCTTTGGTGAATATGAGTTCATGGACTTGGTTGATGAGGCTACGTCATGGGTGATCGTCGACTCGGGCATTTCTGGTGTGCTGTCATCGATCAAACTTCATCCCTAATTTGAAGATATTGTCTTTCTTCACAAGACACCGTGGGCAGGGACACCTTCCAAGGAATTTCATGCATGCAAGTAGAACCCTGACAGCCCAGAGATCAGCATGGTGTGATAAGTAAAATTGGAAACAGACTTCTCTGGATAGTCTGCAGCATAAGTGAAAATACAGGGAAAGACACGACGAGAGACTCCATCAGGGAACTTGACAACAAAGCCATGTTGATATGCGTCTATGAAATCAGCATCAAGTAAGAAGCACCAAATGGCCTGCATCAATTCACGTTTGCAGTGAGTGAGTACTGCTGCTGTGGCACTACAACCAAAAGTCTTCTTGTAGAAGTCTTGGATGGTATCTGACAGCTGTACATAAAATTATTCTGTATCTTGACTTTAGATAAAGGAACACTCGGACCTTCGGTATGTATGCAAGATGATGTGCTGTGAATGATGTTGGCTTGCTGCGAATATACTTTGATTGATTGCCGATAAATAGGTATATCAGCCACAGCGAAGCATTTCCGAAGCTTGCTAAATGAGTTGAATCAGACCAGAGCATGATTGCAGCTATGACTGTTTCTAGGTTACAGTCTGGTTCACGAGGTTGCAAGTTGAGCTTCTCTTGCTCTTGAAGCATGGCATCAGATGTATATAGCTCAGTAATAATCTGCTCTGGAGGTCCGTCGTCATCTGGCTGCCAGAACAATTTGTATGGTTTCATATGGAAGGTTTTGGCTGCAACTTCCTGGTACGCAGACTTGAGGACCTCTAATGGCTTGCGGTAATAGAGCCCATTGACTTCAAATTCAGGTGCACGATCTTCAGAGGAGAACTTCTCTTTTTCACATGGAAGTCGGATTTTCACCGAGGCCTCGTGCCATCCATCGGATGAGAATATGGATGAGGTGGGGTCATGTTGGGCCTTCTCGAGATGCGATGCTTCCCTAGGCACATTAAAATCTAGCAAATCAATCCTCTTGGCAGAAGTCCTCCGCTAACATGACATCATTGACCAAACAATTGAGATCTTGCAGTGATTTCGAGTTCGATGAGGTGTAAAACCACATCATGATGCGAAAAACGGTGGCATTGAGGAATGGTGCGAAGTAATTGTGGTGGACCGCTTCGAGTGACTGTCCAAAGCCAGCATACCACGGGTGTTCATAATCGGTGTCCCCATCAACATGCTGGAATGTTGGTGAGTCACAAAGTGCATCAAAGTATGCTGAATTCTCGGGGTCATAGGTCGGAAATGAATGATGGTATTTGCAAAAAAGGTCAAATGCGTCTGTATCAGTGCAGAGCCACTCTTCTTCTTGAGGATGCTCTGCATGGCTGCAATGTGATGATCTGTCATCGGAGCCCATCTCAATGTCTGGTGGGTCTCCAGGTGCTGATGCAGGCTCATCTTGATCAATAGGGGGCGGGGCCAGGATCGGTAGTACTGGGACGTCGTCACGATAATGCATGGGGAGGCAGATTTGTCGATTTGGACGCCCCAATGGACGTGGCTCCATTTCGATGTCTGGTACCTCCTGTTCATATTTCTGTGAACAACAAGTTCGCATCTAATAACACACAATACTCACATCCACACGAGGCTGACGCAGTCGCCATAGGTGCTCCCGCTCTTCTTCATGTTGTTCTTCCTGCTGGTGTTCATCTTCCAAACGAGTAGCTTCAGCAATCGCTTCCCCACGCTCCCGCCGCTCAGTGAGAGCTGATGTCATGGCTACATCACGTGTCTTGCAGTATCTGCTCAGGTGAACGGACAGGCCGCAACGGTGTACTTCTACATTGCAGTTTGGGCACTGTATCATCAAGAGAAAAGTGAGTAAAAAGACAAAGATTGAGGGGGGCAGCATGAGCTGCAGCAGAAACATGTTGTGCCTATGGTCTATGGCCTTAAATACAGGTTCCTAGCAATGAGATCCGCAGACCGGTTGCAATAGGATAAGGTCTGGGTAGATAATCTGAGTGACGGTCGAGATCAGTTTGCAATCGAGATCACATGCTTCTGCTCAGTGACAAGATACCAAAGATAGCGCTCATCTCGAGATGTGGAGCTAAGAGAGGGTTGAGTTTGCTCTAGAACCCATCACCCAGACCGAACTGCACATTTCACACCATGATGAAGAGCGGTGATGCGAACATGCGCATTTTGCACCAATCCCAACAATGCTGTGAAATGAGCATGCAGATGACATCGTGATAAAAGCAGAGGAATACAGTTAGGAGAGAAATGTATGATCACATATGGAGCTCAGTGGTGTGCAATTGCAAAAGGAGGAGTAGAGACACGGAGATAAGCGAACTGCCAATGCAAATAGGAGACTGCCGATTGAATTAAGGTTCAATCAGGACAATGCTGTGCTGTGAAGATCTTACCCCATGAATGGCACTCGAGGTGGTGCACATGCTGCAAAATGCCCTCGGAGGTGCACGGTGTGTATCGCACCACCAACCATCTTTGCACCAAGGCGCTTGTGTTGACACAGGTGGTAAATCAAGGGCAGTGCTTTCATCTGACAGAAGACAGCAGCTAGCGCCAGGGCAAGGTCCTCTCTGCATACCCACCGGTTCCTGCAATAAAAATTATAGTGCAATGTGTAAATATTGCATCATTAAGTGTTTTCAGTACTTTTGAGGTGAGAGGTCCCCTCGTCCGTCACGTATTCAGAAAATCTTGTGTGACCTGCAACGGTTATCGCAGTCTACAATGGACTGCAGTTAGTGTTCTGTTAGCAAAAGCCAACAGCACAGACTGGAGTCACCCACATCAAATAGTTAACTATCGGCAAGTCATGTGAGGGATGTAGAGCTGGATGAACGTTAAGGGTAGTGCCAGAGATTAGATGTGGACTCTCTAAGGTATGACCACATCAAATAGTTAACTTTTGGCGAGTCATGTGAGGGATGTAGAGCTGGATGAATGTTAAGGGTAGTGCCAGAGATTAGACGTGGACTCTCTAAGGTATGAAGGCGACACATGAATCACCCATTCCAATCGGAGTATTTCACTTACTGGCTGGATCATACCGAAGATTACCAGGGAGGTTGATGTACCATTGGTCCAGTCTAGACTCTAGATTGTTTAAGACCGCCTGCCGCGAGCCCCTTCCCATAGAGCAGACGGGGTAAATCATTGTCACAACAGAATCTTCGTCGAAGTCGCCCTCAGTGATTGACATGGGACGACCTGGTAAAGGGAACGATTAGCTTTGACTAAGGCGAAGTGCGAGACCTACCCATATATATTGAGCCGTATCTGTAAGCAGTCGTTAGCGTGACATCTTCGAGTGAAAGTATTGATAATCTGCAGCAAGTGATGGTTAGATCAAATAAGATAGGCGCTCATGATTTATGAAAAAAGGTGAAAGGGGCTGTGAGGCGAAAGTCCGAAGAGATTGGAAGTAGTGGAAATAGACGCACAGGAGCTGGTATCATGCTCTTGATTAAAACCCGCAATGGCACTGAGGTTAATGTAGCCCTCCGACACTGTCGCTTTGTTTGAACAAGTCTCGCACCAAATGAGGGTGTTCCCGTCTGCACCATGCATGCTCTCGTAGCAGATGGGGCAGTCATCCTCCGGACCAGGCGCATGGCACTTTTTCATGGGGCCAGACTCTTCCTTCAGAGGAGGCAGTAGCCGTGCCAGTGGCGCGTGCATATGCTTCTCGGGCGCACTGATTGATGACAGAGTTAGGTGCCGGGGGCGCATGCACAAATAGGTCGTGGAGCTCTGATGTGAGAAGTCCTCTATACGTGATAGTTTAGTAGGTGAATGCAGTATTCAAGCAAGGTACTGACTTCTGGTACCACAAGCCGGAACTTTGAACGTCAGGGCAACAGCACCATTGGTCTTAGAGGTAACCGGTAGCTCGTTTGTTGCGCGGAGGAGAGGTTGAGCGGCGGGTATCATGGATGAAGCGTAGCGCTTGACAAAGTAGTCGGATAGAGAGATATCCAGAATTGCCTGAGGAACGAAAGTGAGCCAAAAAAAAACGGTCAAAATTTGTGGATGTGGTGGAAGGGGAAGTGGTGCTCCACTACTCAGTCTCGGGGCAGGGTCACACCATACCGGACTTCATAGGGAGGGGAGTTAAGCAAACCAAACAGGACACTCACCAATTACAATATTCAGTGCCTTGCTCTGTCCTCATATGCCATGGAGAGGTTTGGGTTTAGAATCATCCCTGCGTCCAGCAAATCACATGATTTTGATTCAAAGTCAGCCGGCATTTTCCGGTGGTGTATTAACACTCTTATCATTATTTGATCGTTCTATTCCTCAATCTTCGTTCTAATGGCTATTATTATTACCAGTACTGAAGAACCTCTCGACTTGGCCAACAGAACCTCCTTCTTCCACGACAACGTGGTCGTAATGGAGATCAATAATCTTCTTGCTGGATGGCCCACTTACACAATCAACTTCACACCTGAGCATCCAGGACCATTGGTAAGTAATCTTTTTATTGTCTGAATTACTCTCAAAAACTGATATCTACACTATAGAAGCTCATTTTATGCTTGAAGGACGCGTCAAATTTTTGCTCAACTGAAGATGACGATAGTGCAGATGAGGCAGAGGGAACGGGGAAAGTCAACACACCACCAGTCATCAAGGAAGACCCAGATGTTACCATGGTCTGTGAGGCCACCTTGAAGTACGTGTTTTCTTGTATATCTTGATTATTGCATTGACCCTGACTATAGGGATGCACCTCAGTGTGTCAGTGCGCAACCTGTGCAACTACATGGCAGGTTTAAGGATGCTCCTTTGATTGTCGTCTTACGGGAGAAGTTTGAGCGGGAGAATGGTTATATGTGGCCCACTCGTCGTGGCTTCAGGAATATGACTGCCGAAGTACCACTCAAACACGTTGACGCATTCATGACACTACCTGCTGCTGTAGAAGCATTAAAGTTAGAATGAGTCCTGCCTTCAAGCTTCATTTCTCACATCCTATTGTTATTGCTTGGTGCATTGTTGTCATATCACTTCCTATGGACATTGTCTCTCATAGTCATACTGTTTTTGTTGTCATGCACTTGCACGCACTCACATTGTAACTGTAGAATTAATTTTGTACTTCTTGTTGCACATATAGCGCATATAATCATGTGACCTAATATCATGTCAACATAACCAAACATTTGGAACTTAATCATATCAGTCCCATGCCCTAACCCTTAAGTCTAACCACCATCATGTCTTCGCATTGTTGTCCTGGCGTGTTGTCAAGCTCCTCTGGTCCCTCTGACTCAGATGCAATGTATATACAAAGCACTAGCATTTCTTCCATCAGATCCTCTCCAGAGCCTGTGAAACTTGGAAAACGCAAGAATAAGTGGTCAGAGTCACCAGAGCCATCACGTCCTGGCAAACACAAGCACAAGCATTCCTCCAGTGACACCAGCACCGACGACCTCATCAATTCCATATCGTCAGGCTCTTGCAAGCACACAACAAAGTATTGTAATTTGAATTGTGCCATAAAATTTTGACCTTTGGCGGCAGGAAACACGAAGATTCGAAAACAGATGACACAGAGCTGTACCGAAATGCAGGAAGGAAGGCTTCAAGCCTTCTGGATACGTTCAGCATACCCCTTGCAGCCTTCAAGACTGGCCTTCGATTTGACCGAGGTGGTAAGCGCGACCTAAAACAATATGTACTTTATATCTATGTCACATTATGGCTAACTCGCTACAGACTTAAAGATGTCACTGATCGGCATGTTTTATTGTACAATGGCCTCATCGACTATATTCCTGGTCTCAAGAGTGAGCTCGATAACATATTGAGCAAAAAAATGAACAAAATCATTGCAATGGTGCTTATATGCGCATATATGCGCCTGTTTGCATGCAAATCTGACCATCTTTTGCATGATAGGTATCAAAGGGTATGAGCGATGGCAGATCTGCAGATCTGAGCTCCATCAAGCACAAGGGCCTGCAATACATTGGCCTGAATATGTATAGCAAGGCTGATGCTCTTGACCTGCCAATTCCAGAAGTCGAGGATAAGTCAATGCGTGGGCTCAATCACCTGCAGTTGGCCCGTTTGCTTTGCCCTCAGAAGAAATTGGATTGGTTTGACAAGGACCCTGATTTGTATGCGTTTCTTACTTTTGATTCTTTGTACTGATGTCACTATGTTCAGCGCTATGGCCACCTTGCAAGCTGGCGAAATAACTATGACAGCATACAACTGGCCTACATTCTTCTATGAACACGACATTTACAATTCTGCTGAGAAGACAAATGGTCTCTTTCGAAACCATATTGTTGTGAGGGTGCGTCTTTGTCTTCTATGCCGTCATTTATTTATAATTAAGTTACCATGGTTTTACAAGCATCTTTTCATTGGACCCTCCTCCATCACCAATGACTCATCAAATGTTCACAATTCAGCAAAACCATCGAAAAATCATGTGTGGGGGCTAACGGCTGTTAAAAAATACATCATCACATACATTCACGTCATCGTAAGTCTAGTTCTCTTGCTGCTAGTATCAATACTCCTCTCACAGAGCCATAGACATATTTTACCATCAGCAGCGCTCAGCACTGGACTCGGTATATTGGCGACATGGACTTGGACGAGCTCCTCTGGGCTATTGTTGAAATGCTAGATGACAACGAGGATCCATGGGTCAAAGATACCCTCACATGGTGGAACAGGTATGTTTCGCTGCATGGTTGTTTCAGCACTAATCGTTCGCAGGCACCTCAAACCAACCAAAGAAAACTCAAACTCAGCCAAGCCCATGCAAAAGGAAAGTGAGAATGACATTGCTCAGATTCGTGCTCAGCGAGCCGCATGCCGTTCTGCATTAGGTACGTGATAGATATATATACAATGATGGTACTGATATCTATTTCCCAGTGCCATCGCATCCGGTCAACCCTAATGATACTCAAGATCCCTTAATGAGTGGCAAGCGCACCCGCCCTGCAGAGCACCACGACAAAGAGGATATCCCATGTGCAACCAAATGAATCCAGCAAGTGGGCGAAGCCATTGACTCACCACATCCCCGAAAGGCTAATACTCAGCACTGTGTTTCTATTTATGGTGACGACGAAGAGCTTGCAGCACCACGGCCAAAGTCAACCCACCCCCGACTGGATGGGCAACAGTTCCCACCTACCAAGTCCCTGCCCCAGCGTGGCGTGATTTTTCCAGACGACAACGACCAACCGACACCACCCCAAAAACCGATGCACTGCCAGCGTCACCCTGAGTTCGATGCTCAGGACCATACCCCACCACCTCACAAACTCAAATCCAACTGTCTGGTCTCCAACACTATCAATTATGAGCAGGAAGCACTACCCCCAAAATTCAAAGCTCAGTACTCTACTGAGGTGGCCGGCTATGATGTGGCTCCAGCCTCAATGCAAGCAGGCCAACCTACACTGGATTGTGACAGAGAGGAACAGCAACCTCGACCGCGCAAGCAACAGCGTCCTGCAACCTCCATTCACCATGACAACAAGGATCAGCCTCCACGCCCAAAGCCAAAACCCAAGCCAAAACCTCGTCGCACTGCTCACGAGCATGAGGATTCAGTAAGCGAGCTCGTGACTGAGCAGTCGGGTATGACTGGGGTATGTCACTAGGACCTTTTTTTCACTCTGCTGACATCATAATTAGCAGTCCTGGCCAGCACCAGCACCGAGTTCACGCCCCTCATCCCAACTGTCTGATCTGACTGACTACGACTTCCCCCCAGAAGCTGCAAACCTTTTTGATGCCCCCCTCGCTCCCTCAAAGCAAAAAGGAAAGAAGAAAGCCATCACGGCTCTAGATGCCCCTCGAAGAACCTCCAGTCGACAAAAGAACGGTTACTAGGACTCGAACTTTATTGCTGCAGCTTCGTTCTCTATGTCTCGCTTACCTGCTTGTTGCTGCCGCTCTGGACTTTACTGCATGCCAGTGGACTTCGTTCAACTCATGTATTTTTTGATACCAGTACTATTGCACTAATACATTGCCTGTTGGGTACAAATACCTCGCATGATCTCGTGGGGCCTTCTAATGTACACAAGTCTTGAGTGATCTAGTAAGACCTAGTATTCCCTTGCAAGCCTCAGCAGCCTCGCACGATCAACCTGCCTTGCATGCCCTCGAGAGGCCATCCAAGACAGGGCTATTTCCTCGCGAGGCATCGCAGGCCTTCCAATATTCGCAAGGTCGTGTATGGTCCTGTTAGGCCATCCGAGACCTCGTCAGGTTTGGGCACTTTTGCTGATGTCGTGTGACAACAGAAGGATATTTACAGTTGTTTGTTAACGAAGGCCTTACTTTGGACGCACTGCATTTTTTTTCACAATCATAATGCGAGACAGAAAGACTTTGAAATGTTGGTCCTTGGATGCATTACTTCTCTAATGGCGCTCGCTGAACCTTGACTCTCTTATTCTAATATACATAATATCTGCACACCCAGCTCTTCTCGTTCTCCGCCGCTCCTTTTGGTCTTTGGCCTATCTGGTTTCGTGTCCTCCTTGTCCCGACTCCCCTCGGCGTGTGCACTCCAGCCGACCAGCGGAATTTTCTAATGGTAGAGCCCTGTTCTCAGCCCTTTCCTTCTCTTCGCCAGCCGATGCCAGAGCCCGAAATTATATTGCGAGGAAAGGTACCCTTGATATACCCTTAATACCCCCCTTTCCTGATCAACCGAAGGCTATCATGTCTCTATCTTAATTGTTTTGCTCTGCCCATAAGGGGCCTTTCTGGTTCTCCACAATATACGCATAAACTTGTGTCCAATCCCGGCATACATGCGTCACACCCAAGCCGTCTGTACGTGTCATCGTTCCATCGGGGTCGACGAAGAGTGGGTCTAGGGTAGTGTCAGAATTGCAAAGAATGGCCTGCCTCAAGAAGTTGAGGCAATGACCACTATGGTCATCGGGTCCGTTAATGAGGGCTTCTCGGATCATTTGCAGACAATGAATCTGGTGAAACATCGAGACACCAAACGCTCGCCCTGATAGAATTCGGGAATGGTGAGCATTTCACATGCATGGACAAAAATGGGGCGACGTTGATTTACCATTTGGTCCCAGGCGCACAAATCCGTGACCTCGTGGAAAATGATCAAGTGAATTCCACTCCAACCAGGCCATGAGCCCAGATGTACTGTAATGCTCTGTGCTGTTAAACGTCAATGCGACGGTGTCTAGGCGGAGGGGTAATTCGGTCGGATGATCGTCGTCAATGTAAGCTAGATCAAATATGTTGAGCGAGATTGAACTACCATGGCTGCCAGTGAAGACGACGACGACATACTGTACTTCCTGACATCGACGGCTGTGTGTTGCAAGTGCAGGATGGTGAGGATGTTCAATAAGATGCTGATAGCGAGAGCACTAGGCCCAAATACACGCAGTATTTCCGAGGATCGAAACATCGAGTCTGTCGTTGAATGTGATCTGAAGAAACTTCGGGTCACTTATGTGCAGTACAGAAGATAGGTGGGACAAGCAAGTACTACGACAAGTTTAATAATAGCTCGAGCCGTTGCTGGCGGGGCGACGAATACCTTGGTGCGTGTCACTTAGTCGCCGCGGAGTTGTAGGTAATCTATTATCGATTTATCACTAAGACAGTTGACTCCAATTCCTGCAAACCCTGAATCAAAATCCGCGGCAATTCACACCGAAAGGACCCCAGACTGTCATCGAGATGTGGTTTCAGTTCGTTGAGTGTCCGCTCGTTCGAAGTAGATGACGAACACGAGCGCACAGAATGTGTTCGTGGATTCGCCCGTATCACTCAGATCTTACAGGATCTTTTTTTTTTTTGATTCCATTTATGTCCATTGAGAGATAATTCTATGTAGGACAATACGTGCTAGTCTAGGGACACCCGTGTCCCAACGCATCTCTGTAGTCGCGAATGTCCCGATGTGATGCGTACCCCATCGGTCCTCCGTTCCCGCCGGCCGTTTTACAGGATCTTACTACTCGGTTCCTGCAAAACAAAATCCGAACACCCCTGAACACCAGGTGATCACTTAAAAAAAGATCAGCCTCGGCGATCCCCTGCACTTTACCAAACGATACCAAAGTTAGTCGTTGATAATGTCTTGATTGCTTCGCGCCTAAGCTATACTTTGGTAGTTAACCGCGAGGAGTATATATCTATATCGTTTTCTGCCGAATAACTAATCTATCCTATCTCCATCAGGTCGAAAGCTACACCATGGATCAGTCTGTCACCTCGACCTGTAATATGTACGGCCTCACTCACCCAACGGAGGAGATGAGAATATTTGCTCGAATTCAAGTCTACAACCGTCGCAGGCAACCTCGATGCTAACAGTCGCTTTCTTACCACACGAGAACCGCGTTGGCAACTGCGACTGCCAGCCATCTTCGAGACTGCACTTGCTCGATCTTCTGTTTCCCAGGAAGGAACACGACAGTGCCCATCAGTGCGATTCGTTGGGGTCGCTGTGTTCCAGCTGAGGCTCTTCATGCCCTCAACAGGAGTGGTAACATTCCAAATCTGGATTTCGGTGAGGGTGCCAGACGAGGTATAAGTCTTATTGGCCTGCGAGACCGTCTTCGGAAGTGGGAACAACGCTAGTCGATGTAGCAAGAGGTGAATTTAGGACCGACCTAGGTGCCACTGGTAGTACATTGAGTCCTGGAACGATATAAGTGACCGAATCGCTTCGGGGCATGGAAATCCGCTTACATTCTCGCTCAGCATAACGTGCGAGCCCGAAGTATATATTTGGTCAGGTAAGGCTTTGTTCGCCCGTACGATGGCGCTTGGGAAGTACATCTTTGGTGCTGGCCACACGGGTCCATTCATGACACAGCGTCGATGATGACTGAACGTACGTACCCTTTTGCTGTTGCCGGGGCTCGTCGATATATTCGAGACCTGGAAACTGGTTAGGCTGGCGCAATTCATAGGCATCACGCGGCCAGGAAACACTAGCAGAGGCGATATACACCGTGCATGCACAAACAATCGCGAGCACGGAGAGTCCCAGTGCAGTCCAAGTGGGCCATTCAGATGGAGAATCTGCCGTACGGTGCTCAGAAATGAACTGTTTACTGGGGAGGAGAATAGCGTCTTCAGACTCGTCTTCAGGTTGGTGCTCTAGGTCGTGCATTCGAAGAGGTGAATACGAAGCCATGAAGGTGCGTGGTATGCCTGAAAAACAGTTGTTGAACCTCTTTACTTGTCAACGGTAAAGTACCTACCTAATGGTGATTTGTCAAATGCTGCTTGGCTCAAATGCTCTAGGGGGCGAAGCGTATGCACGAGAGTAGCACTCAGAGTTGATAACCCGGAGAAGAATACCAATTGATAGTACTGTTCAGGAAGAGAGATTGGAAGATAAGGACCATATCCTAGCATATCCTACAGACTTACTTGCCTCAAGCGTGCACGCTATCCCCTTTCATTCAGAAGTCAAAAGAGCCGAAGACGTGTACCATACCTCTGTAGTCATTCAAGGTGTGGCGTCAAAGGAAGCACCAGCCTCGAGGTGCAGAGCAAACACCTGACCAGTGACTCTAACTATTTTAGTAGAGGATCAGACATCTGCGACAATGCCGGTTCTTATCGCTGTGACACAGACAACCTGGCGAATTCCAAGGGAGCTCAGCGCTCAGTCTGGACCCACTGTGGGATTCAAATGAGTAGGAAAAACACATAACCCGGCGGCAAGTACGTTCTAACTTATTTCAGCGTGTCACGAGATGATGGTGACGTGCAATGCAGCTGATTAGCTGACATGCTGCGGCTATTCAACAACATGGCACTTCTTATGCCTAACGGCAGAGCACATTGAATTGCATGTCGCAAACAGAAGATATGCAAAATAAAACGATAAGATCAGATCAGACACGATACGACACGAAGGTTTCTGTGAGCGAGTCTGTGAACTGGGTCTGAAATCCAGCTCCCCAAAGATACAAAGGCTCCACCCCCTGCATCGACTTTACGGTCAACACCTCAAGTAACACCCCATCAATCACTCTTACATCTAGACACCATGAAGCTTTCTTTGTCTCTTGTTTTTGTCACTATCGCTTTGTTACAGGTGACAGTGGCAGCGCCCATGGGGACTGCCTTTGGTATGTTCCAATGGCATGCCAGTACTATGTGTACCATGTCTCATCAGATGTGGATACAGATGTGATTTCCGACCGCTCCCCCGATGTCGAAGGTAATTTTCTAGTGCTGGCCTTGTTGTCGAGTGCTATGTTCACCTGCTTGTCAACGTAGCCACCGACGAGCGTTCCCCCGTTATGCATGGTGGAGGTAATTCTCTAATGTTACCCTTGGTTTCGAATGTTCTATTCACCCTATTTAATGCACAGCTACTTCTTACTACATTGCCGATTCAGAAGGTATGTCTTTTAAATTAGTATCGGACTTGGATTATCGACTCTTTTTAAATAATTCTCGCCGCTAGCATAATAAAGTCAGAAGTTCGGGGTTGTGGGTCACGGCAGCGAGTGAAGTTTGACTTTCCTTAGCGCAAATTGGTCTAGTAACTGTGTTTATCAATGTATTGCTATCACCATCACCTGCACTTGTCTGATCACGAGGGAATGAGTGAGGGCGCCGCCATTGCGTCACCGTGCATGTGAGGCGCTGAAGCTTCTACTGCTGTGCACTGCCTATTGGTGATAGATCGATCATCCAGACTCGTACGACCCTCGCAATACCTTCTACTACGTCTAAAACGGGGACTCCTCCAATGGCGCTGTGTCCAACAAGCTACTCAACTACTTGAAATGCGTGGAGGGAGAATAAGTTTAGTTGGGGCTGCTCTTACATCGGGGTAAATCGTTTGCAGCAGACCATTCATCAGCGAGCTCAGATTGTATGTACTCTATCTTTACCGCAAGAAAATCACGTTCTATTACAATAATTGACTCGTCTATTGAGCCTTCCTGTATATGTGCTGCATACGAACGGCATCTAGACGTACGCCCTGGAAGTTATCGTATTGTTAGAGTGCAGCATCGAGAAGATAGTGATACTGAGACTTCTAATTTGTATTTCTCGAGCTAATCCTAGTCATCTTCGGTGCCAGGTCAGATCGTCGCGCTCGAGTCTCATGCATCACACCCAAGCCGTCTGTGCCTATCAATGTGCCATCGAAGTCGACGGACAGTGGGTCGAGGGGTGCGGTAACGTATGAAAAGAATGCTTTGAAACAACCAACCAAAAGGCGGGGCGAGTAGCATGAGGCAGAGCACATCAACGGCAGCCGCAAACCTGGTAAATACATGACAGATATCATTGGGAGGGATGGGAAAAAAGTAAATTAATGACGACCTTCAGTATATTCAAGAGAAGAACAACAGCAGATAAAGAGCCAGAAACGAGTCCAGCGGCCAGCATGTCTTATTATTACATGAGGGTCGGACATTGATGTTGTAGCTGCGGGGGTAGAGGCAGCGGCAGGTGTGGTGGATGGCGTAGAGTGCGGTTGCGAAGATGACTGTGCTTGAGCTGCTCCGACAGATTGCTGGGTGACACTGGGCTTAGGAGGCCGTGAGCTGCCCGCTGGCTTCTTTTTCTCTCCCGCTTTAGCGTTCCTCTACATGATATCAGACGGTGTCGAAGATCCGAGAAGGAGAAAATAATATCAGGATGAGTCGAACGATTCGAGAAGGAAAGACATAAACATACGCGTTTTCCTTGAGCATACGGGACGTCGAATGAGCGATATTCTTGCAACTCGAACCCTGCATTATTTTGTCTGCGTTGTGACCCGGAGAGAATGTTTCGAGCCCAGCCGAGAGGACGGGGTCGGGATAGTGGATGTTGGACATCGGAGTAGGTGCGGCTGAATAACGAAGAAAGGCGACCAAGAAGTATGCGTCCATGCGGTGCTGATGAGCGGTGTTGTGATAAAAACTGAAAACATGGAGGTGAAGAAAAAAAACTGGATGGAACGCTAACGACGTACGTGAACACGATCTGGTGGGTCGTCGAAAAAGCTAGGAGGCACACGACGGGCGGCATAGCATCGTTGGACTGTAGCATCACGCTAAAGTGTATACGTTGATTTGCAATGACATGTTTGTATAAACGTGGCACGTACATCGAGTAATGCTTTGTGACCTTCCTGTGGCTTGGGGGGCGCGTTCAGTTCCTAAGATTCGAACGAAGGGAAACAACTTCTCACCTTTAGAAGGTAATCGAGGCCTGCTTCTCTCACAATCGTTGAAACATTCCACGTGTACGCGTTATTGTCCTCACAGCCAGTGGCCAGTAGCTTTCCATCTGCCGAAAACGACACACAGAGCGGATCATTTGCGTGCCGGAGGGGCGAACCTATGGGCTGGTTGTTGTCGAGGTTCCACAATCGTGCTGTCTTGTCGGACGATGTGCTTGCGAGGATGCGACCATTCGGAGATATTGCAATGGCAAAGACAGCAGAAGTACTGTGCTCGTCTAGAACGGCGACCTGCTTCCATGTTTTAGTATCCCATGTCCTAATCGAGCCATCTATTGACCCGGAGATAAGCATTTCGGTCCAAGCCAGACACCACACTGTATTTGTGTGTCCTTTGAGAATGGCGACAAGCTCGCCTGTCTTCACATCCCAGATTTTAACTGAAGATTCATTGTATCCAGCAGTCGCAATCAAGGCCATGTCTGGTGAGTAGATGACTGCATCCAAGCGTGGCTGCTCTGTCTCGATTCCGAGGATGGTGTTTCCACTCTCCACATCCCAAACCCTTGCAGTCCTATCCCAGGATCCACTTAACACTCGCCGACCATCTCGACTCCAGCAGACTGACCTCACTTGCCCTCTGTGCCCCGTCAATTTAGCGATGACCTTGCATGTATCAATGTCCCACAACCTCACTGCACCGTCTTCACCCCCGCTAACCACTTTCTTCCCCGTCCGGAGACAACGCTCTGGTCAACATTCCACTTTCTCCGTCTTTCCAGTCCTCCCCTATCTGCTTCCCGCTCTCCAAGTTCCATACCCGCAGCGAGTCATCGTCTGAACCAGTGATGATCCGTTCTCCATCTGGCAGGTGTATGACACCCCAGATAATACCAGTGTGTCCTTCAAATTTTTGGTGAGGTCCTATCGCTGATGTCCCCTCCGCCCTAGGGGTGGGTGAAGACATGGATGGCCAACTACCGAGCGCAGCGCAGTCAGCCCTCATCCATCAAACTACACAATCATCACTTACGAGAAGATGGCTCTCAGAACGACTCGACCCACGGACACAAACAAGGAGCGTTTCTGTCAAGTTAAAAACTGGAAGTTCGGGTCGTCTTCCTGGTACTTTTTACGTGCGTTCTCCTCATGTTCACTTCACAGCTTATATACTGTGCAACTGAAGCGCCCAAACCTCGTTTTTCTGTGGGGGTCTGTCCACCGGGTCCGTCGGTCGGTGTTTTCTGTCTATCCTCTCCCGTCTTCGTTCGACAAATCAAGCTTCCTCCGTCTCAGACTACTGCAACCCTTCATGCCGTAAAAGTGCAGCCCTGCCCTCGTAATAGTGCTTCATCCTGCTAAGAGGAAGCTACCCTGATTGTAAAAGTTTAAATTGTATCTCCATGGCACAAGCGTTGTATATGCTGTCATTTCCACTAGAAAAATTCTCAAGCAAGGCGCCCATTTGGTTACTCCTACACCGCATCTACGACAACCGGACTTCCACCAACGGATCAACCTTTTTCTCGATACTGGCATCGAGAGTACACGATGACGAGGACTGGATTTATCGTAACAGTATATATTTTTCCTACGTAGATCATTTCAGTCTGACTTTTGGCACTCCTGCAGTAGAACACTGTGCCTGCCCACTCGTATCATCGAGAGCGAGCTCCTCACGGACATGGATGACTAGACAGCTACCCAATGCACGCATGCGTCGATAACATCTCAATAGACTGTGGTCGTATCCCGCGTTCAGTATGGAAGGGAGACATCAAATTTTGTGTTATCTCGAGTACTTCGAGGCATAACCACTTACAAGCACCATGACAGAACGGGCACGGATACGTCTCAACACGAAATTGTTTGCGCCACGAACTTCTCACTGGGACTGGCAGGCGTCGACTCGGTGAAATTCTTCAAAGTTCAAAACATCCAACCAACGTTCCCAGAACACGAGTCTGTTCCTTTTTCTCTCCCAGCTATAACCCATGCAACTGCAAAATATATCCACCACCTGCCATCCTCGCAGTTGCTTGGTCTTCAAGAGGACTGCTTCATCCGATTCTGCCGCACGAGATACATCTAGAAGACACGGTGTATGCAGACCATTATTCGATGCTCGGAAGGGTATGTCATCTATAGAACGACGAGTTCCGTCGTTGTGTTACAGAAGAAGTGGATCGAAAAGGATAACAATGCAATGTTGACTTGGGCACACTGCATTGCATTTTTATGACACGAAACACTGGACGAGAAAGATTCTGGGAAGCTGGTCTTTGAATGCCTTCCTTCTCTATTGGCGCTCGCTGAACCTTGACTCTCTTGTCCAGCATATACACACCGAGCTCTTCTCTTCTCCGCTTTGGCCTCTCTAGTTTCGAGTCCTCAACTCCCCTCGACTTGTAGACTCCGGTCGACCAGCGGAACGCCTGTCTAATGGTAGGGCCTTGTTCTGAACCCTTTGCTTCTCTTCGCCAGCCAACGCCAGAGCCCGAAACAATGTTGTGAGGGAAGGTACCCTTGATAGTCCCCTTTCCTGATTAACAGAAGCCTGAAAATCATAGTCTTCATCCTCAAATATTTCAACATCTTCCCTCACGTCAGCAAACAACATGCAAGCAGTTCACGAGACGACAGCCAACTGACGTCAATATCTCCTTGAAAATGTAAGCGCCCAGTTTGACAGATTAAGTATAGGCGCTTGTGCCTCATAATTTTAATCAATCGTTTTGGCTGGCGTATTCACGAGTGACCGTTCAGTTATAATCGATGCCATCTTGACGATGACCAGATTCCGGACCTCGAATCCCAGGATGACAGTGCCACAGGTTCCCCAGTGCTGCACACTTCATCGAGCTCAAAGCTCAGAGCATCAGCGCCATTCTCACCGAACGCCAGCACGAGTTGGATGCAATTTAGCACGAGATTTTAAGGCTGATTACTGTCATGTACATTAAAGAGCAGAAGAAGGTTCCCCAGTCGATGAACCTGAACAAAACCCTTCCATCGACTTTCTGGCGCGGCGCGCCTATTGAAGTCTTATGTGTCCAAGAAGACCATCATCACAGCCAACAAGGTCGCTACGGGGAGGATTAAACAATGGCTCAATCTAGTGGAGAAAAGCTGCTCATACTACATCTATGCTTTCGACGCAAAGAGGCTGGTGTGTAGTAACGAGGTTGATCAAATGGTAAAGTTTAGTTACAAAACTTTGGCAGCGGTTGATTAACAAAAGGGGTAAGTATTTGGGCAAAAGCCTGAAAGGCTTTTCGGCCCGGCGCATGTGCACGAATCTAATGGTTTCAAGGTGAGCAGTGATCCCATAATACTAGGAGTGCGGTGACGCTAA